GTTGATAACAGCCCTACTATAGGGGGGTTAATATGAATGCCACATAATAGGCATTCTATTAATCACCGATTGTCTTGGCGGCCATGTGTCTAGGATCGACAACATGGTATGATTTCCAGCAGATTAAAGCCCCCCATGGTAAGCGGGATTCTACGGTGAATCTTAGCAGCAGGGAATATAACCTGTACTCCCCGACCCAAGAGTTCCTAAGTGACTGATAGTAACAGCATCCGCGAATGAGCTTCAGCAATGCGAGTTGCACAGATAGTATAATATGATTGATCGGTCTATATGACTCGCGATCATGCTCAAGGCCTTGGCCGAGATAAGTCAATTATTGCTATCGCAATGAAGGTAGTGAAGTCCTGAGACCATGAGCACTCTATGCCGATGGAGGGATCGCAGTCTGCCCTGTCGGGGAAACTAGTCTGAATAGAATTGGCCCCCCGGAGTTGACACCGGCACACGGATAGATACTTGTCGCCCAGCTATCTAATTAAAATGCAGGAGGCGGCTTAGCTACTGTGGGTTTGCTTGCTAGCCGGTGCCTCAGGCTTAGACGTACCTAAGGGCTGTCATGCATAGCCATCACACCCAGCCGCCCCCATCCCGCACTGGCTCTCGGGCCTTCACGTGGAGGGGACCCCAGGCCGGGATCCTGATCCCGCAAGGCGCGACGATGAGACGGGTGGGAGGATCACCCATGTGGGAGCCATAGGTATGTTCCCCTACCAATCCGCCTAGAATGCCACAATGTTCAGATCCGCTGATATGCTATGAACAGGATCAGGTCAAGTTCATGCTGCCCATGTGGCCGCTTGGGTTATTTCGGGAGTTCTAGTTGATCTTACGGCCAGCTGGCTCACCGAAACGAGCACAAAGCTTTTCTACATACGGGGAGAATGGTGCAGGTTGATTATCCCATCTGCATCAACTAATGCCCCTGTAGGTACGGGCATGATAGCAGAATAAGCCTTAGGCTAACAATAACAATAGGCGTGTTAGTAGTCCGCGGCACCTTCCGGCCTCTCGCCCACGAGGTAATGAGGGATGGCCAGTCGACAACGTGGTCCAGCTGTGGGGAAGAAAGAATGAGCCGGGCACGGGCTTAGTGGGCTTGGAGCCAACCTCTTGAGCACTGCTAGTGTTAAGTGCTACCATGCGTCAAGATGGTCAAAGCCATCCATGGTGGCATTCTCCTTTCCATGTACAGCATAGACGAGGTGCCCAGTGAGGGCACTCGAAGTACTCGGTACCCACTCAGCTATGTCGTATGCGCATGGTGATATGGAATACGGCTGTCATAGTATCACGGACGGAGCATCAGTAGTCTGGGGGCCTGTTGTAAGTAAGTACTAGACAGATAGGCAGAGTGACTACTTACATACACCTGACCTACCTATCTAGGCAATAATCAAGACCTCAGCTGTCATGTGCCTGTTTCCACCCCACCAAGAGCTTGAAACCGGTATATGTACTAAGCTGTTCAGGGAAGATGATGAACATGCTAAATGTAGACAGGGGTGGTTGATTGGCTACATCCTCGTCTAGTAGGTAAGCACAGTATCCAAGCGGTAAGTACAGTACCTACTAGCGTAACGCCAGGCGCTGCAGGCATCTCGCGAAGGTTCCCTTGAACACTCGAGTTCTCACGGCACTAGGGATGCAAAGTAACGATCACTACTGCAGTCATCATTGCGTCGGAAGTATCTGACCTGGTTGCTGATAATCCTGAAACGCTTCCATGACAACGTGCATCCTCAGCGCCCGTGTATCCGGTTCTCCTGGTTGAGTATCTATACTGTTTAGAGTCGTCATACTCAATCCGGTAAAGTCTGTCGGATTGTCGGCAAAGAACGGAATACGGCGGTCTTAACCCCCTCCGCCGGAGCCAGAATCTGCCCCGGTCCCGGTTTGCCTAGATCCTTGATCTCTGCTAAGTCCTAGGTATCGAGTCCTTGGGGGGGAGGGAGGGTCGTGGTGGTTCGGGCACCGTACTCCGTGCGCTGGTTGCCGTCCACAGGATGCCCCATCAATTGAAGGTCTTTTGGAGCCCTGGAGGATTTACAGTTTTGGACTACAAGGGCGGCAACGTGATCCCGTATCTTAGCTTCCATTCACCGGCCTTGGATCCGAAAGGCCTCATCGTCCAAGGATGATCGTATCTTCGTAGAGATATTGGCGACACGTCGGGCCTATTGTGTAATGATCCGCACCCAAGGATTTGACTAACCCTGGTACCACGCGAGAAGGGCAATCATACTCCATCAATTCGAAACCTTCGACATTCTCCTTCCATGGAGGGGAAATCAGAGTAAGGTGGCATGACAAACCGGGCCATCTCACCTCATCTCGACCTGTTGAAGACCTCCTTACCACTGTACACCAAGAACCTGAGACATAGTTCCCATGTAGTTTGCTAAGATGATCAACGAGCATCCCTTCTTGCGGGTCTAAGGCTTTTTTCCCCCAAGCGATCGAAAGAGTAACAGAGATGAGCAATCAGAGTCTCAAATCTGAATCTGCCTTGCCTGAGGCTGTCACGCCTTAGGTAATCTGCTTCACCACCACCTGGAAATATTGGCGTCATGTCTCCAACTCTCCAGAATCCCCATCGGACGATCATAGCCCGAATGTGCCTACACTGTGCAGAATAACACTCCGTACATTGAAGGCATACCTACGTTGAACCTTACCTTGCAGATAATCCCCCATCTTTTTTTTGAAAATGGCAAGCAATCATTGCTGCAGGTATTCCACACTACAACTGTCGGATGGCTGGGCTTGATTTGGTGAATGCCATTGGCCTCCAAAGACAACGTGATATGTTCTTTGACCTAGGGAACTTGAAGGTCAACAACAATAACAACATGCTCCGCTCACTGTCCTTATTCGTTGGAGTGGAGAGGAGGTTGATATTTCCCAACACCCTCCACAGTCTACACCTCACTTCGGTAAGTGGGCGCTTCCCGAGTCTCCAAGTCGAGAGGTGAACGGAATTGTCCCGCGAAAAAACCCAGCGCGCTATCATCAGATAAGTCCGGCGCACTCACTAGCCATCAAGCGCTGCAGCTAACGTCCTACTAAAGACACTAGCATCAACTAAAAAAGATCGGGGGACGCCGTGCACTGGACTAGTCTAGGTAATTAAGTCGCTCGAGCCGTCCACTGGGGCTAATCTTGGAGGAGGACCAGGGGACGGTTCCTAGCCAGCCAGCTAACGATGGCACTACGCACCTACTAAGGTCCCCTTGACTAATTAGCAGTAGATGAAGACTGAAGAGACGGCTAGGTACGGGGAGTCCGCATTCTAACGCAGATGTCTATACCCCCCACTGCCAAGCAATCCAGTCGAGTTCGTCGAGTTTGGCATGATTGTCCACCCCCATGGACCTCTACGTATGCTGCATAAGTCTTAAAATCTTACGCGAACAGACGAATCAGCCTCATCATTGCACTCAAAGGCAGCCGAGGGCCGGGATGTCCGACCGGGCCAATGCCGATGATGTCTGCGATCGACACACTCGAGGCAATCCAGACCAGCCTGGCTGTTCAAGAAGCGGAACGGCCCTTCCGGTGTCTGTTCCCAGTTCCCACACAACAGCCACAGTTGCACGGGCATCAAACTTCATCCAGGTCGTGACATAGATGTGCTATCCGTATACCCCTGTATAACCCGTTCATCGCGTTTCTTTCCGCCCTTGGTTCGGTCATTTTCAGGGTATCCTACTGATGTCCTATAATAGGCACAAACTAATTCCAATCTTGGAAAATACAGTCGCCCTGTCATCATGGCCCCTGTCAGCACGCCCCCCTGTTGGCACGGCCCCCATCAGCGAATGGTGGCCGACACCGGGCTCGACACGGTGTAACATTGCCGCCCCGGATACCAGGCAAGATGATCGGCCGCAGCAATTCTTCCAGCTGCTATTGGTGAAGAAGGAACTTCCATGCTGCGTGGAACATTCTATACGCCAACATACGGGTTACGTTGGATACCACTTTGGGAGACGTACATCTTCGTGCAGCATGTCGTTTAAGCTACTGCAACTACCCTGTAGTAGGGTTACAGGCAACAGAGCCACGAGGCCCATCATTCCGCCCCCAGAACAGGGGTGCCATGCGTTGCGATGGAAGATGTCCACATGGTCTGATCTCACTTCTATCAACCGGTTCGACCACGAACTGATACAGTCTTTTTGGTGTTCCGTTTGTCAACCGGCATTCGCATGCCTCAAGCGGTCTGAATGACCAATGTGCGTCAGATCGAGTGAATCGGCAAGGGCCCAGATATACTTCGTCTCAGGCCAGCCTAGGATTGACCTTAATCGTCAGCCAAACCTGTGAAGAGTCGCTTTGCCAGACAAAGCTAGCAACATTCGTGTCACGCAGCTCGTGCACCGCCATTTCCTATCACGGACTAACGCTCAGAAGGATTAACTTCCCTGCTAGCAACAATGGAGCACTAGTCATATATGATTTCAGGAATCCTTCGGACAATGGCTTTACCCGACGACTAATGAGAAGCTCAGAACAAATTAACTGCGCCCGGATTAATATGCCGGGCGCCCCGACCTGGACCCAGTCTTCTGCATGTCGTCAGGAGTGTTTCATCCGTCCACACGTGTGCCAGCTGCGGAGACCTGCTGAGCACGATGGCGATCATGCAGCGCTTCGAGACGACAGGGATGTTGCCACGAGGGTCTCCTTATCTCCAGGGAACTCCGGGCAATCAACTACGGTGTAGAAACCCTGTCCAAACTACTCGGTGACCCCTCACGTAGGCAGCAATGTCGTCATTACTGTCCAGCATGCCCGCATTATCCCACTCCGGTATTGCACCGACAGCGGTTGACGCTCCTTCCAATTGGAACCAACTCTTATGTGCGCAGTGCAACAGAAACAGCCACCAACAGGAACCATGCGGAACCAACATGTTGGCTCGGTGTTTGTCGCTGACTCGCTCGTGGTTCCTGCAACCTCAAATTAAGCATGATACTATCGACAGGGCAAAGACTTTGGGCGCGCTGACTAGGATCAGAGAGGTAAGAGGACTGTCACGACTGTTTCATCACTGCCTCCAATCCCTACGGTCTGCTCACCAACAGCATACTGGTGCACATAGTTACATGAGATGAAACAGTATGCAGAGATCTGTTACATCCAGCTGCAAGTCCCAATCCGGTGTAATAGCCAGGGCATTTCTAATCCTGAAACTCCTTCCATTTGACCATTCTGTCCCTCATATCGACCTCCTGTCCGTCAACCACAAACCTTCCATCTCCGCGATGGTGGGCCATGTTCATCTCCCTCTTCCTTAATTTGCCACCACCAATAGAGCCACCATCGTCTCCTGGCGTTTGGTCTTCCTGGCCATATTCCAAATCCATGTCTTTATTGATCCATGCGCCAATCACCCTCAACACCCATAGATTGTATCTCGCCACCAACGCTCCATCCTCAACCACACATTGGATGTTGGCAATGATCCCCTCTCCTCCAACTAACGGTGCCCGTGCTCTATCTTCCTCTGCCCCTTTTCGGTCCCCAGACCCATTAGCAAAATCAGGATCAGGAGCCGGCACCGGGTTTACCCCAAAAGTCTCCCACTTATCGACATCCTCCCCACTGCAGTTCCCAATGTCAACGACCTTCTCCAACATCTCCACAGCCGGAACGGCGAGCACACATTCGCCCGTCTTGTTTAGATTACCGTGACTCTTATCCCACGGCCCAATACAGGCTCCGACAAGTGTTGGTCCTTCGTGCTGAATCATCATGTGGAAACCCATTGTCATTATGTTGTGCGTCTTGTTGGCGAAGGAGCCAGTCGCCACGAGCAGGACGGGACCGGGCTCCAGGAGTCGATTGACCTTGTGGATCGGATATGGAAGGAATTGGTCCAGACCACTGGACTGTTCATCGCTATCGCCGGAGCCGAGGGCCGACTTGAACTTCTTCGGCGCTCGGTCTGGATCTGACTCTGACGCATTCAGGGGGAGACCGTCCCCCCTTTCGTTCTTTGGATCGCGTTTGCGAGACATATCAGTTTCCCCTTTCTTTGCAGATATGTGCGGTTTCGATATATAGATGTAGGGATAGATATATATACACGGTGCACAGTGTCAATCGTCAGCAGAAGTAGGTGAAGAAGTGACTCGAGAGCCTTCAGACAAAGAACCAAGGAATGCTTAAGTACTCTGACCTGTCTCCCCGCATTCTGGGTAGGGACCGTGCATCCCTGTTGGACGGTTCTTTGTTCCACTCCAGTGACGTACGTTGCCGTGTCTCCCTTGGAGTATGTCGATGTATCGTACGCCACCTTTTGTAGCACACAACTACTTCTCTCTCTTGGTTTAAAACTGCACCGATTACCTACCACTTCATATCCAATCCGTCACTTTCTCAACGAATTTAATAAATCCAGAGTTGTAGAGACCGGAGTATGTTAGAACAAAAAGACCTTATGTATCAACAGAGATATACACTAAAATCGACACCTCGAACCATATCACTTCCTTCTTCATACAGAATCCAATCACTATAATCTACTGAATTAAATAGTAATCCACAAGAGTGAAATAATCCAACTCGGTCGGCATCCCCATCCATCCATCCATCCATCCATCCATCCATTCATCCACCCCACCATTCCAAACAAAGAACCCAACCACCAACCTCCCAAATATTCGAACCATAAATCATAACTAAGACATTACTATCTTTTCATCTTACCCTATTACACTGTCAATTGTTATTTTCTGTCCGAACATCACTCTCTCTGTTCACAAACAGACACACACACACACACACACACACACACACACACACACACACACACACACACACACACACACACACAAATATATATACCCACATAGTCTATACATCTCAACCTCGTCCAACCTCAACAAAAAAAAAAAAAAAAAAACACAAACAAAACAAATTTCCTACACTATACCATGAAGCTACTATTTATATCCCAATCTCAAACAATACACAAACAAAGCCCCCATTTACCAACTACCAATCAATCGATCATTTACTTGTCTATGGTATAAGTAACGACTTATGCTTTGTAGGGACAACAAACCTAGGTAATAATTAGTATAAATCTCATGACCCACGCAAGCCGATTTTCAAGTCACACAGTATTTAATTTCATTGTAATGATAGTCTCGTGGGTGGATGTGGTTCAAGTAGTATCTTCATTTGCAGTGTGGTGTGATATAATAGTATATAAATATGTCGGGGGCTCCAGATGGTCAACTAATTCGGCTGAAGTGGTGCAAATTGCACATCTTTGTTGGGCGGAGATATTCGATACGTAAAACTATATAACGACTGAGTGTTTGAGCGTAAGGATATGAGACAACATGGCAGGGAGATGCGTTGTGGGATATTGTCAACAATGCTACATATCAGGACAAGCCGCGGTCGGCAGTTATTGATACCGTAGATATTGGAAAATACATGGTATCCATTCATCCTCACATTAGCTACAGGTCTGTCCGTCACCTTACTTACAGTCTTCACACCAAAGCTACTAGATGCAGCACAGTGATGAAGCAAAGCGGCAGATCGCCAATAGAAACAAGCATCGCATAAATAGAACAAATGGGGTTCTCAGCTCAATAACAGAAGGTATGGGGGTAATAAATGCTGCTCACGAGGATAACCGACTAGAATACAACCCACATCAAACGCCTTTTCAAAATATGAGATCCTGGACTGATTGCTTCAGCCCGACTCGTTGAGCCTTGACCTCCAGAGGCCTTTGCGATACAAAATTCCCAGGTCAGCAGTGTAATCACAACCAGTAATCCGAGAGCGACCCGAATAGTCGTCAAGGAGCCCCAAGCTGTCGGGGAGTTGAAATCACCGTGAATCCTACAGGGCGATGCTCCTGGCAGGTTGTTACGCGCCACGCGCAGTATGAACCGCACCCAGACTGGGGCGGGATATGTTTCATAGCCAATGATGGTGACATCATATCCTGTTTGCAGACATGCACTAATATCGCAAGGTTGCTGAATGGTCGGGCAAGAATAGGAAAAGAGGGAGAGAGCAGCTTTCATGAAGCTTAACGTATTGTGACAAGCGAAGGTCGAATCGAAGGTAAGAGAATATGAGACAAGGGCATGGCTTAATCGTTCGGAAAATGCAGAGATTGGACCTAGATGGTTCACACGGCATTGTCCATAGGAGACTTGGAATCATACACCTTCTAGCGTCGATCGGGATTGGTCACCTAGATATCATGTTAGCTAGAATTTCCCGTTTCGGTTCATCGTGCAGCCAAGCTCACCTGCAGGATCCGACGTGAAAAGTCTTGGTCATCGTCGATGCTGCCATTGCTCTGACGTCGCTGTGCCATAAAATCGCCGTCAAACCTAGAATCCGACATGTTGTGCTGCGACATCGGGTTGCCATAGTTGTCAACGCCAACACTACGGCGGTATTGCGCTTTGCGGTTCTTGAAACGCCAAAGGAAGAAACCGGCGCCAGCAAGAGCACAGGCTCCGACCACACCAACAACAACACCCGCGGCAATGGCAGCTGTGTTGGCGCTCGAGCCATTCTTCTTCTCTGCAGGTTCGGTAGCACTCTCGGCAGCTGGAGTTGCCGACGCCTCGGTCTCAGTTGCCGCTGTCGCATATACTGTCTGCGTGGTGCCAGAACTGGTGACAACGTGGGCTTGTTGTTGAGTCGTGGCTGTAGAGGTTTCGCTGTCGGTGCTGGAAGTAGTTGTGCTCGAAGCCGAATAATTGTCCACGTCGTTGTCGATACCAGTAAGATAAACCGAGTAGGTGCTGCTGCCACCACCTGTATTAAGGCCGTTAGTAAACAGAGGACACAAAGAAGAAACGAAATGGGGGGCGTACAGTTCACACTAGGCCAACCGGCACATTCAATGTTACATTTGCTGTCGGAAACCTTCGCCGAGGCGGCTGGTAGCTCATTACCGCAGAGGCAGTCCTGTCCATTATGCAGGGCAAAGACGGAATAGCTGTTCTTTAAACATAGCTTTTGGCAGTATCCATCACTCTGATATGTGTATGTTCCCTGATCTTGCAGTGGCGTTGAGTCGGAGTAACAACCATTGTATTCCTCTGTATAAGCATATGTCGCCGGTAGACTGATAGCAAGGAGAAGGGCCGAGGCCTTAAGAGCCGACCGCATCGTAAAGGATTTCGTGGTGTGGTACATGGTCGACGTAAGAAACGATCACAAGGGGGACGATATGAGGTTGTTTTAGACACAGCCAAGGAGGTCGATCGAAGGGTAAGGGACGACCTGCGTAACCCTTGGAACCTCTTAGAGCTAGTTTAAAGCTGATTGTTCTTTGTCTCTCCTGTGTCCTAAAGTTGGACTGGTCGCGTCGATTCTCCGGAGTGAATAGCGCAGACGTTGGCAGGGGGGCGATACTGATGATGGGTGACGTATGGGACCTGGACTTGACGTGGGAGATCCGGTCGGGTAGGGCGAAGTAGAGGGCCACCAAGTGAAGGTAAGATGGGAGTTTGAGTGAAGATAGCGATGAAAGAGTGTGGTGTCTGCGCTGGGAGTAGGCGGTCCCTGGCGGGGAAGGGCCCTTTGGACCGGTCGTTTCAAGCACCCCTTTCTGTCGGAGAGGGTTTAATGAGCGAGCCTGAACGGGCGGTTCAGGAAGGGCAGTCAATCAGCCAGGGTCGAAATCACCCGCAGCAACAGGGGGTGAGAGGGAGGAGAGGAGGGCGTGGTTGTATTATGGCCGTGGGAAGAAGCTCGAGGAGCCAGGCCAAACCGAATGAATACCTTCTGAAAAGAGCGAGAGAATGAAGAAACGAGGGGAAATAAACAAGAATGCACAGATCGATAGCAGTGCCGAAAAGAGCGACTAGGTTGAGGTGGAGGGAAAGAGGGTCAAAGAAGGGGAAGCGACAGAACGATTGACAGACAGTCTCCTTCCTGGGAACTCATAGGGTGACTGCGCAGACAGACAGGCAGGCGACGATGGACGGACGGACGGACTGGGAAGGCATTAAGCGACGCACTGACGGGTGAGACTGAGACTAGCCCAACTGGCAACAAACAGGAGGCGCAGGTTGGATCATGGATACCTACGGATACCTACTACTACTAGTAGGGGGAGGTATCACCCACCACTCACCACTCACTAACTAGTCCAACACACACAGTACCTACTTCTTACCTATTACTTACCGTAGGACTAACTTTCCCTACTGGCCAGGCGAAAAAAAAGGGACAAACAAAGCGTGAGGAGCGAGCATCATTCCCTCCCTTCTCCCCCAATGACAGCCCCCCATTTCAGACGCGGTACGCTTCCAGGTGGTTCCCCGACGGGACCTGACCCTGGATGCGCAGGGCGGTAATTTACCACTTCCCGCGTACCTGCCGCCCTGGATCCAATCAGAAGCGCCCTTCCGGCCAGACCGGCTTACATCAGCCGATCCTTCCAGGGGCAGGGCTCATCCCTTTCCTCTTCCAGGCCACACGGGCGGCACAGCGGAGCTGTTGCTGGCATGCACTAAACCTTCCCCGGTCATGCGATGGGTGGGTGTGAGACTGTGAGCACTGGTGGCGGCGCTGTATTTCAGTCAAAAGAGGGGAGAGTATGCACATGCTCGCTCCGGTGCAATTGTTCTTCTCAAGTTCTCCGTTGCTGCCACCGAACATACCTACTTAGCATCCCATGCCCCGGCCGGACTTGGGAGGTATGACACCCGCAGTGTCCCTCGCCAGCAATGTGTGTACGACTCATAGGGCATACCAGCAATCGATCTAGTACTATCTACCTATGCTACTCCATCCTCCTGTATTCGGATTGTAAATTCAATATGGCTACATTCCATGCGTGCTCGTTGAAGGGGCATGGCAGGCAGGCAGGCAGTCATTTACTAAGCGGTGTTATCGGAAGCAGAAGAACCCATTTGGATAAAAGACGGCGGCCGACCAGAATTGGAAGAGGCGAAAGAATCGCCTGAGTATATTTATAAATAGAAAGGATCCTCGGCACGCCCTCGGGCACTCATGGCCCAGGTAGGACAGAAACCTCTCAGTCGCACCTCTTCCCAAGTGCCGGCGCCAGCCATTGACATTGATGGACAGATGACTTTAGAACCTGACCGACCGGTGATGAGTTGTACTCTGCACATACAAAGTCCCATTGCACCATTCCTTGCGTGTATGCAAACCGGGACGGGGACAGCCAAGTTCCTGGCCACTTGCAAGGCGATTTTCGTGCAAAACTCCAGAATCTAAGGTCGGTTCTACTGTGTACCATCAACCTACCCCCCAGTTTGCGTCATGGGTATCAGATCGAGGCACAAACCCAGAAGCATCAAACATCCGTCATTATTGTGTTCATTCTGTTCCCCCAAACTTCAGCCGGCACATCGAGGAACGGCGGAGGATGTCACTGGCCAGGAGACTGGATTAACCGCCCAAACCCGGGGCCATCAACGATCACGGGCGTTGCAAATTTCAGGCTAGACCTTTTTTATCCTGGATCCGCATTTTCTGCCAATGGAAGTCGGTGTTGTGGGTGAAATGGACCCTTGGGCTAGGCGTTACGCCGTCACCACCGAAGCGTTCCAGTTTTTAGTGCAGGCAGACCCTCCCTGAGAGGAGTTCGAGTCCGACTTTCCTCGGCTTGGCACCGCCGTTGCAAGTTGCGGCAGTCCGTGAAGACCACTTACTTGGTTCACTTGGGCAAGGCGGTGTTCTTGACAGTATGGTTTCAAGATGGGGCCCTCTTGCATCATTGTAAAGTGTAAACATGCGATGGGAAAGCAGGATGGTTTCGACGGTTCCAGCGGTCGGGTCGTTTCCGGGGTGCGGTGGACCTGGACGCTGGAACCCCTGCAGCAGCTTCGCCCCGTATCGAAGAGGCCTGGAAGGCGTAACGCAACGTAAGGGTTCTCCGCCCCCCTTGACGCGTATATCTACAGCTTCAATGCATGCATTAACACGGCGGCTCGACGACCATGGCAGTCTAGTAGATACGATCTACTCTGTACTTCGTACTATGATGGGCTGACTTGTTTGCAATAGATGGCAAGGAAGTGGGTGACGAGTCACTGGGTGCGACATTATTCAATGAGAAACAACCGGCCACATTAGGCCATTACCCTGCACCCTCGAGCCTGTTGACAAAGATGTCCACCATTAGTACCCAATACACCTCGGAACTTCCACATGCCAGACCTCGGAGACGGACTATGCGAGATAGACTGCTCCAATTTCACGGCGCATGGAAAGAATTCTAGAAGTATGAAGCATGTTCACAATTCACATGCCAAATAAGCTTATCGGGTGTTTCATGATGCAACTATGAAGCTCAGGAACGAATATCAAATACATACCCAGCACTCCTCCAGATATGTCCTATGAACACAAAGCATGCAGTGCTACCTTTACTACTTCAACACCCAGTCGCACTGGCAAGGCTTGACTTGAATAAAAGTGGATGTGCTTCTCGCCCTCCCAATCCACCAGCTACTTCTCGCTCGGGAATCCCCGGCAAAGAAGAGAAAAGAAAAGAAAAGCAAGGAAAAAATAACCACATTAATATTAGAAACCATCACCAACCGACCCCATCCAGAGCATAGGTAGGAAGATCCCCGGCAACGACGGCACCCAACCTAACCCAACTGACTTACAATTTTCTCGGCCCCCCGGATACCAAGTCCGGGAAGCCCTCCTGAATTGCGCGAATTACCATCTCCGAGCAAGATAGACGGTGAGTCAAAAACCCAACCAGAAACCTACCTACCTACCTACCTAGGACACACACACACAAAGAGAAAGAGAGAGATTGGTCCCAGCTCAAAATGAAACTCTAGGCGAGGTCTAGAACGTGTCACCAGGATCCACGATGTCTCTCCCTGGGTTTCCATTTTTAAACCCCCCCCCTCCGTCAATGGTAAACCCTCGATAATCACAACGCAATAATAACCGATAGTGCAGGGTTTTCTATTGCTTTGCCAAGAGAATCCCGGGTTTGGGTCCAGAAATACGAATGGGACTTGGCTGCGGATTGGCCTCAGGTGCATCGTTGCTCGGTTGTCGGGCATCCACTCCATACTTTAATCAACATATCTGGGAGTAAAGACGTAGACATAACTATCAATGATTACTTGCTTACTTCGTAATCGGGCGAGTACGGGGCTCTTAGATCTTATTTCACTCCATATTTCGTAGGGAGCAATCGACCGCAGGATCAAGCGTCATCACATTAAACCCCATGGATCCTGATCAACACGAGCGGACTGAGCTGCTTCCTCAGGATCTCAGGCCAACGTGGCTTGGGTCCTTGAGGACTCCGCTTACGGTAGATAGGTCATGTGGCATGTTTTGATAACTGTATGTATGTATGATACGTCGGATGTTGATGATCATACTACTGCTCTGTAGAACCTACCCCCTAATGGCTATCGAGATGATTACCTATGTGACGGGCTTGCATGCAGCTAATAACATACTCAGATCTGTGAGGATAGTGCAGATCTTAAACTGCGTGGATAATATAAGTATAGGAGGATGTGGGGAAAGGCTTTATTTACTCTTTCTATCCTGCCTATGGAGTGAATGTCCGGGATTAAGGTTAGTAATTAAGAAGTACTACTACAGCAAGAAGAAGTTAGGTACCAAGACAACGATTGGACCCTCTAATACAACAGCCCCGGATGGGACAATCCTCCGGTATGATATTCTGACCCGAGCCCCCATGCTCAATAAGATAATAACCGCAAGACACTATGCAAAAAATGCAAATCGTTTTTCATTTCGACAACTGCGTTATTCTCGACAAATGCTCCATGTCCACTTTTGTTTTTTGTTTTGTTGGTTTCCCTTGGTATATATTGCTCGCAAAAGACATTTCTATCAAAATGGGAATCCTGGTTGAGACAAGCTTTCCACTTGCTCGATGAGCAATCCCTGCCTTTACGGCTTAGGGATGTGCAGCGTTTTGCTGACCATAAGACACCCGTGCAGAACAAATAGTAGCACCAGGGGATGGAACTCGAATGCCGTACCCTCGGCGATAAGACCAAGTGGTAGGTTCTCCTGCACCCAGTCCTGAGAAACACAGTATGTCATGAAGAAGGTAATGGACAAGGTTGTTGGGATAGGGGTGCCCTCGAAGTATTTGGATTTGCCGGACTTGTCCTTGGGAAGAACGGCAACAGTCACATTGAACCGTGCCAACCGTGTCAAGCCGCAAAGGACGAAGAAGGAGAGGAAGAGATGGTCGAGGCTGGTGCGCATTCCGAGTGCGAAAGCTGCTGCGGCGGGTGCCATGCCAAAGGAAATCTAGAGCGAAAAGCGCGGATAGTAAGTAACCGAGCAACGCGACAATTGAGGTAGAACAATCATACCAGATCAGCCAATGAATCGAGCTCTTGTCCCATGAGAGATGACTTCTTCCTCCACCGAGCGATCCTTCCGTCCATGAAGTCGAAGAAGAGTCCAAAGGGCATGAAGATGAGAGCGGCCCAAACCGCACCGTAATCGTGGGGGTCACCAAGGCAGTAGCGCATAGAGGAGAAGACAGACATCACTATGTATGAGCGGTTAGTGTCGGGTCATGGATGTCGATTGGATAAAATTTGAGCTTGCCTCCACAGAATCCTATAAACGTGTTAGCGATTGTGAATTCCTAGCCATCGTATAGATGACACGGAGGCATCTGGTGAGTTACCATTGAGTTCAGTCACCAGATCTGCGAGGTGCAAAGCCCTGATGTGCGTAAGTAACCTGGTATGATTCCCAGTAGCAAAGTCCCGATGGCTAACCTGATCATGCTGAAATGACCCGTTTCCGACGAAAGAAGCATCTTCTGCTTTTCCTGACCTAGTTTCCTTTAGCTTTCCAAGCTTTGAGGGGCATATCGCAAGAATGCAGGCTCACCACCATCGCCCGCAGGTGGGACACCGCTAGTCGTTGAAGTATTTGACGGCATGGCAGAAGTCCTGCGAGACATGCTCAAGTGAAAATGAGTAACGGAAAAGGCTCTCAAAGCAAATGATCGATATAGCGGAGTATGTCAAGTTAATGTCGAGGTAGGTTGTGAGAATGGAAAAGAAATGATGCAATGGTAGGCAGCGGCCTTCAGAAGTGTTGACAGGCGCACAGATTCTACGGCTCAGGCGTGGCCAGACGTCATTGCAAGGCGGTGTTGTCCTGCGCCACAGTCACACACTAGCCACTTTGGGCTGTTACTGACGAACTACTGCGCCACATGTACTCTCCGGTTGATGAGGCAGTGGACGATGGTAAAGAACAATAATATTCGGCATAATCGATCGTTGCAATACATGAATTTGATGGCCGAGATTCACGACAGCCTCTGCGTACAGAGAACCAGCAAATTTTTCCTAGGATGCACAAGAATATAGAGACAAATAAATTCCTGCAATAGCTCCCTTTTCCCAAAACGCCGTAATAAGACAGTACTACCAGGCAAGACAGAGACTGTCTATCGTCGGAAACCACCACCTCCACGAGGTCCTCCTCTGCCGCCACCCCGCGAGAAACCACCACCTCCGAAACCACCGCTTCCACCGCGGAAGCCACCTCCACGGGGTCCACCGCGTCCCCTGGGTGCGCCGCCACGGCCACCGCGCATAGGACCACCACGGCCACCCCGACCACCGCGCATAGGACCACCTCTGGCACCACCGCCAGCTCTCTTGGGCTTCGCAGCACCTGCATTATAGTTAGGATCACGCACATCCGATGGCTGCGAAGAACGTCTGATATCATACCGGGAGCGGGCTTGGGCTTGGGAAGGAACCTAGCGTTACAAAGTCAGTGGCGTTCATATGATAAACAAGAAATAGCAGCCCATACTTCTCCAAAGGAAGGAGCTTATCTCCACCGATGTAGACCTTGTCACCAGGCTTGAAGGAGGTTGCGACAATTCCTTCCTGGGGCTTGATGGTGAAATAGACCTGGTTGATGGGGCCCAGAACCTCGTCGACCTTGCCGATAGGGGTCTATCAGACGAATGTATTAGTCCATTATGCGATTCCGAAGTGTCTAAGTCGACCATACTTTGTTCTCGAGGTAGATGGGGGCGTTGAAGTAAGGAATCTTCGGGTTGATCGATTCGCAGACCATCTCGCCTTCACAAGCGTGCATCACAGTTCCCATCTCTGATCATTCCACATTAGTCGCAATCAATCTGGCCGTAATTTGGCGTATAATTACCCAGAACTTGAGCAGGGGGGCCCATAGGCGCCTGGAAACCTCCGCGACCTATCCGACGAAATTTTCGTTAGCTCCTATTCAGCGCAAGAATCGCCTCTCGGAATCTGCAAAACCCACCTCCACGGCTACCGAAACCGCCACGGTTGGCGCCAGACGCAAAACCACGGCCTCCACGGAAAGACATCTTTAATTGCTGTTGTTGCGGTCGACCTGGATCTCGGAGTCCGGAGAAGTTTTCGAATGGTGGGAAGCTCGAAACGGTAAAGTGTCGCTAGCCGCAAGGGCAGTTTTCTGTCACGTGCTTCACCGCCTTCGGTCACTCACTGAGTCACGGTGGATTTGCGTTTCATGATCGTCCGATTTCTATGCGGAAGTCAGGCATCGTTTGGTTTTACCCCTCTTCCTCGGTCCAACCCCCCAGATCGTTACCCTGACGTTTCGGGATACAGCCATGGCTTCTGAAGGTTCAAAGGACCTCCCTGTCAGGCCCGCCGCCGACGCCAAACCTGCTGGTGAGACTGTCTGCCCCGCCAAATGCCACCATGACCCCTCCTTACCAGTTGACAGCGCCAGGTGCCGGCTCTCTCCCCGATTTCATCATTGAGCGCAACAATCTGTTCGAGGAACTGTGGCAGCAATCTCTCGAGGAAACCAAGAACAAGCCCCACCCTGAAATCAACGTCACCCTGGAGCTTGGTGATGGAAACTCTATCAATGTCACCGCGAACGCCTGGGAAACCACCCCCGCACAGCTTCTGAAGAACGTGCCCAAGGAGTTGAGCGCCAATGTTGTTCTCGCCAGGGTTGGCAAGGAGCTCTGGGATTTGGGCCGTCCGTTAGAGGGCGAATGTACCGTTTCTTACGTTCCCTTCGACCACCCCGAGGGCCGGGAGGTTTTCTGGCACTCTAGCGCGCACACTCTGGGCGAGGCCTGTGAGTGCGAATTCGGATGTCTTCTTTCTCATGGGCCTCCTACTCCCCAGGGCTTCTTCTATGACATGGCTATGCCGGACAAGTAAGCATGGGTGGTGTTGTATGATTGAGCAGAGATGCTGATAGTGAAGCAGCCGTGTCGTCAGGGAATCCGATTGGTCGTCGTTGGACAGCAGAGCCTCCCGCATCTTCAAGGAAAAGCAGAGCTTCGACAGACTGGAGGTTACGAAAGAGAATCTCAAGAAGATGTTCGCGTACAGCAAGTACAAGTTGCACTACATCGATAAGCTGGTGACCGGAGAGAAGAGCACTGTCTACAGGTGTGGTACCTTGGTCGATCTGTGCAGGGGCCCTCATATTCAGAGCACCGGCAAGATCAAGACCTTCAAGATCATGCAGGTATGCATTGGTGTGTACTTATTCTCAAAAAATGTAATGCTGACATATCGAAGAACTCTTCCGCTTACTTCCTCGGTGACCAAACCAACGACTCCTTGCAACGTATTCGCGGTGTTGCTTTCCCCGATAAGAAGCAGATGCAGGAACACTTGAAGTTTTTGGAAGAGGCGGAGAAGCGCAGCCACCTGAAAATTGGCAAGGAACAAGAGCTTTTCTTCTTTGACGAAGCTTCCCCGGGATGCCCTTTCCTCTTGCCCAACGGTACCAAGATCTTCAACGCTCTCCAGTCTCTTTTGCGCTCAGAGTACCGCAAGCGGGGCTACCAGGAGGTTCAGACCCCCAACATGTATGATGTCAGCCTCTGGAAGACGTCCGGCCACTGGGCCCACTACAAGGACGACATGTTCAAGGTCAACGTTGAGAAGAAGGAGTGGGGTCTCAAGCCTATGAACTGCCCTGGTCACTTCCTGCTCTTTGGCCACCGTGAAAGAAGTTACAGAGAACTTCCTCTCAGAATCGCCGACTTTGGTGTCTTGCACAGAAACGAAGCGTCCGGCGCCCTGAGTGGTCTTACCCGTGTCCGCAAGTTCCAGCAGGATGACACCCACATTTTCTGTACCGAGGACCAGGTGAGTGTCGAGAATCGAAATTTCTCTGCGATAATCTCAATCAACTAATGACGTTCAGATCATGTCGGAAATCGAGGGTCTATTCGACTTCCTGCAGGCCATCTACGGCCTGTTTGGCTTTACTTTCAAGCTGAAACTTTCCACCCGCCCCGAGAAGTACTTGGGTGAACTGGAGACCTGGAACAACGCCGAGACCCAGCTCAAGGCAGCCATGACTAAGTTCAAGGGCAATGACTGGATTATCGACGAGGGCGACGGTGCCTTCTATGGACCGAAGATTGACATCACTATCGCTGATGCCCTTAAGCGAGAGTTCCAGTGCGCCACGATCCAGCTTGATTACCAGGCACCTATCAACTTCAAGCTCGAGTACATGTCGAATGAGAAGGCCGAGAAGGCCGAGAAGGCCCCGGTGACCGATGAGGCCGGTAAGGAAGGTGAAACCAAGCCCAGCGCGCCTGGTTCTGGCCGCGCCCGCCCCGTCGTCATCCACCGTGCCATTATTGGCAGCTTTGAACGTTTCCTTGGAATCTTGATCGAGCACTTTGGCGGCAAGTGGCCTTTCTGGCTCAGCCCTCGTCAAATCCTGATCGTGCCCGTCATGCCCGCTGTCAACGACTATGTTGAGGAGCTGCAGACGATCCTGCGCGGCGACAAGCTGAACGTGGACATCGACATCAGCGGCAACACCATGCAGAAGAAGATCCGTACTGGACAGCTTCAACAATATAACTTCATCTTCGGTAAGTTTACCTCCCATGCTCGAGATTTTCTACATACTTTTTTTCGGGTCTCTGATTGTACAAAACAGTTGTTGGCGCCTCCGAGAAGGAGAGTCGCACGGTCAACATCCGTAACCGTGATGACCCGGCCACCCAGAAGATGGGCGTGATGGTTCCTCTTGAGGAGGCCCGCGAGAAGCTCCGGGCTCTGCGGAAGGAGCGGAGACTGGTCAACTCTCTGTAAAGAAACCCATTCTTTCCTACTTCCTGCTTATCATCTGCATTCCGGCATCTGCATTGCTTGATCAAGGACACTAGAGATCTACGTGTCGATATACCATGGTTTAGAGACTAGATCATAAGAGGCCATGCGGGTATTGATGTTAGGTTAGTTGAAAAGAACAGACCAAGTACTGAGCAGATGAACGAACGAGCTTCGGGGGGTTGTATTTCTTTCTAGGTGTATAGTACCTATAGCTTTCTGGGCAAAAGTGCACTTGAACCATGGCAGACGGTGATATTTTAGACTTGCTAGGGCGTTAGAGTTAGTGATTGTTTACCTGAGCGTCAATAATTCATGAATTCGGTCCCATCCAGTGATAGAAACGGGCAGTCCGGCAGTCCGTGAGTTGGTTTCAAACCCTCGCTGGCCACACGGGTTGAGTTTCGGAGGTCCGACCGCCCATTCCGACGCCCGCCCCAAACAGCTCGGGGTTTATGTACCACGTCACGGGTTTTCCTTTTGCCATCCATTCCCATTTCCCACTCCTTGGGACCGAGTCGATTCCTTCTCAACCCGGGGAAGAATGATTTCTTGCGGTGAACAACCTCTTGCATTCGGGAAGATCCAGACGTATCACCGTCATGACTGATCCATGATGTCTCCGCCATTGAACCGTCGCTCCTGGCGCCAATCAAGGGCGTCGGTACTAATCTTCGCGGCGGCCTTTTTCTCCGCAGGCTTCATAGTGTTTTTCTACTCCAGGCCTAGCCAACTCGCTCCAATTCCGGATCTTGATCCCAGTCTCTCGCTAGCACCTTCCCTCGATGACACCAATCCTTGTTATGTGGATCTCGATCGTCTCCGACAGTACTCCGTCTCCAGCACCACGGTAGAATATGCCCGGTTAGAGATAGCCGTCGCTCCAACGGAGAATTTCACTGGTTATACAGACACCCTTGGCGCTCGGTTTCCAAAGTTTAGTACTGTGCGTTTGGACACAGAAGAGCATCGACAAGGTCTGTCGCCGGACAGATGTACTGCCTCCGTGACGATTGAGGGACCCACGCCCAGTGCCCGACCAGATGCATCACATATCATATTTGGCATTGCAACATCCGTTGATCGCTTACTCGACTCTCTGGATGCTTTTGCGCATTGGGCCGCAGGTAGCAATGCTCGAATTTTGGCCGTGGTAGATCGTGGAGGTCCAGAGAAGGAGGCTCAGAAGCGGGCGGAGGCGTTGGGGATCCGTCTTACTATTCTTCAGGAAGAGGACGAACGTTTGGATCGATATTTCTATCTGACCCGATATTTGTACCAAAACAAAGACAAGTCCACTCAGTGGGTGGTTATGATGGACGACGATACGTTCTTCCCATCGATGACGAGGCTAGTAGATCGGCTAGCCACCTATGATGCCACAAAGCCCCAGTATATCGGGGCTGTAACAGAGGACTTGCAACAGCTGTACAGTAGCGGCTATATGGCGTACGGTGGTGCTGGGATCTTCCTCTCTATCCCGCTTCTCACGGAGCTCCAGCCTTGGTTTGATGAATGCTACGCGTTCAAAGCGGGCGGTGACCGCATGCTTTCGCAGTGTATCTACGCGCACACGAACACCAAGCTCTCCTGGGAGCGAGATCTCTTCCAGGTAGATTTGCGTGGCGATGCGTCTGGATTTTACGAGGCTGGACGGCCTCAACCGCTCTCTGTGCATCACTGGAAATCTTGGTTCCAGGCCGACATGGTAGCTCTCAGCAAGGTAGCCAGCATTTGTGGGGATGAATGCTTGCTCCATCGGTGGCTATTGCCCGATGAATGGTACCTCGTCAACGGATTTTCGGTGATCAAATACTCGACAATATCAGATGACCCCCTCGCTATGGAGCAGACCTGGAACGCAAGCAAGTATACCGGTCCGGACCCTTTCACCTTCAGTTTGGGGCCGCTACGACGCAAAGACGAGAAAAAGATATCGTTCAGGTTGAAGGATGCAGTTCAAGAAAAAGAAAGAGTGAGGCAGATGTATGTGAATGATGTGGTACCTGAGAAGGTTGAGGTGTTGGAGGTGGTTTGGAACTTTGCAGCATGAATGGCTACTATTGGCAACCGATGCTCCGTAGAGATGGGTGATGTATATTATGTACTCATTTTTCTTTTTCAACTGTCCTATCTATCTCATGCATTGTCCAGCTTCCCTGTGAATTCCTTTGCGGTGTAAATAATGGCGATCAGCAGGAATCGTAAGATTGTATACGCTCAATATACGCAAGTGTTTGGTAGTCACGATGCATGGAATATTCATACAAAACCAATGGTGGGATCTCGACGATTCATTGGGTTTAATGAAATCAAATCCCGATGACTGAGATCACCGTTGACAATGAAGACGATGATGGTGTTGCCCATAAGCGAAAGGCTCGCTTCTGCCTCAGGCACCAGCACAACCCAGTACTGTGTAAGTAGCAGTTGATCGCACCTCAATCCTCCGAGTGCTGTGTGAATCAGTCGGTTAAGGCTTCTGCCTCCAGCACATCGTAACTGGACCGTTCTCGGTAGATGAAATACTATTATTTGTTCCTCTCATCTACTCCGTAGCATCTCCGACTATAGTACGTTCCCCTCAACTACTTACTTACTACTGCACGCTGCGCGCTTCCTAGACCCAATCAGAAACCACCCTGTAATGCCGTCACATCTCATCACCTCAAGGGGAAGAAAGGAAAAAAAAATTAAAAAAGGGAAAACTCTCTGAGGTTCTTTCCCCTTCTTTCTCTCACTTTTTTTATAGTTTTTATTGCCTCATCTACTTCTTTTTCTCCGAGCTTTTCTCCCGTGTCTCTGTTGATCTCGCAGTTCCAGAGTTCTCCTGTTTCAGAGTAATCCAGACCCTCCCGGACATTGGCGGGGCACGACCCAGACAACGGACTGACAGACGCCATTCCTCGTGAATTGACTGGTTCTCTGGCTGCGACCCTAACCGGCCTGTCTGGAGAAAGTGACAAAGAGGAACCAAAAACCCGACAAGCGCAGGAGGGATTCAGTCTCTAGTAGTCTCTCCCCCGACGCCCAAGTCCCAAGGCTCCCGCCAAGTCCCAACCCACCGCCGGCCCAGCCAACGTCGACTATTAACTGCTACCCCACCTGGTGCCATCCATCGGAACAACTCTCTCCCTACCTACCTCATCGGCTTCCCAGACGCCGTACATTTCCCCTTTACCCTTCCCCGCCTTACCTCACCTCGCCTTCCTCTCATTATCCTTTCCAGTCCTTTCGCTCCAGTTCATCATGTCCGACTTGCAAGGTCGCAAGGTCTTTAAGGTCTTCAACCAGGACTTCATCGTCGATGAACGCTACACTGTCACCAAGGAACTGGGTCAGGGCGCATACGGTATCGTCTGGTAGGTTTGGCCTCCGTCGGAGTCACCCATCGCAAGAAAACTCATGAGAGTAACCTCTTTCATTCTAACGACATTAGCGCTGCCACCAATGGTCAAACCGGTGAGGGCGTCGCCATCAAGAAGGTCACCAATGTTTTCAGCAAGAAGATCTTGGCCAAGCGCGCCTTGAGAGAAATTAAGTTGCTTCAGCACTTTAGAGGCCACCGCAATGTGCGTTATCCCTCTTTTTTTTTTCCAACTTCTGCTTTCATGTCTACAGTCTCTGATGTAGTGCTTTCTGGCTTAGATCACCTGTTTGTATGACATGGACATTCCCCGCCCGGATAACTTTAACGAAACGTACCTGTACGAAGGTGAGCCGTTCTTTTGCACCCACCCTTTCCATTCTTGTCGCTAATTATGATCCTCAATAGAATTGATGGAATGCGATTTGGCCGCTATCATCCGCTCCGGACAGCCCTTGACCGATGCCCATTTCCAATCCTTCATTTACCAGATCCTCTGTGGTCTCAAGTACATCCATTCGGCCAACGTCCTGCACCGCGATTTGAAACCCGGTAACCTACTCGTCAACGCTGATTGCGAGCTGAAGATTTGCGATTTCGGTCTGGCTCGTGGTTTTTCGATCGATCCTGAGGAGAATGCGGGATACATGACAGAATATGTTGCGACAAGATGGTACCGCGCGCCAGAAATTATGCTGAGCTTCCAGAGTTACACCAAAGCCAGTATGTACTTCTGTTCTCTTTTTATTACCGTGCTGTATGCTGATTAGCCTTCAGTCGATGTCTGGTCCGTTGGCTGCATCCTGGCCGAGCTCCTGGGTGGCCGTCCTTTCTTCAAGGGTCGCGATTATGTCGACCAGCTCAACCAGATTCTTCACTATCTGGGTACTCCAAATGAGGACACGCTGAGCCGCATCGGCTCGCCTCGTGCCCAGGAATACGTGCGCAACTTGCCATTCATGCCTAAAATCCCTTTCCAGCGTCTCTTCCCCAACGCCAACCCTGATGCTCTCGATCTGCTCGACCGGATGCTCGCTTTCGACCCTACGTCGCGTATCTCGGTTGAGGAGGCCCTGGAGCACCCCTACTTGCAAATCTGGCACGATGCCTCGGATGAGCCAACCTGCCCGACGACCTTCGACTTCCATTTCGAGGTTGTCGAAGATGTGCAGGAGATGCGCCACATGATCTATGACGAAGTCGTGCGGTTCCGGGCCCTGGTCCGGCAACAGTCGCAGGCGCAGGCCGCCGCGCAGCAGCAGCAGATTGCCCAGCAGACCAACGTGCCCATTCCCGATAACCAGCAGAGTGGGTGGAAGCATGAGGAACCCAAGCCTCAGGAAGCGCTCGCCGCAGGCGGCGGCCACCCCAACGATCTCGAATCATCGCTGCAGCGGGGCATGGATGTGCAATAGAGGACTATAGTCCGTGGCTCATCAGCTGCCCGCCAGCCGCCGCATTCCCTTTCTTTACATGAATGTACATGTTATGTCTGGCTGACGATTGTGGGGGTAATGTCCCGAGTACTCGACTGAATATAATCATCATCGTTCTGGAAGTCGCGGGCGTTTCCTGGACTACCTACCGCCTCCATCTGATATCACCCATATCGCTATCTATCTGTTATTCTGTCCTGTGCTATGCCCCTATCCCGATCTGCTGGGATCATGAATTCTTGGAATGCAAACGTACGCTTTTGTTGGCAGATGTGCTCCCATTATATGTCGTGCTGTTGTTGATTCTCATATCAAAGAGAGGACTGGTTCTACTTGCATCCCGGGTATCTTTGGGACGCTACGGGAATTACTGCATTGCAATTGAGCGCTTGTTCGACCTGTTTTGTCTTGGTGAACCTATAGATAGAATAGTTTGGCTCAATGGTTATATATTTTGCTGCGCACCGCTCATCGAAACAGTAATAGCCGCTGTGCCATATCTAAGCAGTCACTCGACTTGCCAAGTACTAGACCAAAATTCACAACTGGGTGCTGGTCAGTCCTTGTATGTCAACACCATAGACCGGCGTAGACTCATCTAGATGATACATATACACGCACAGTAATCCCTATAGGTCTCATTGAAACAGCAGATTCGGGCAACTTGGCCACCTCACAGGTCATTATTGTCCAAATAACAGTCAATCCGAACTAAACCCATTTACCAACCAATCCCAGCAAACAGTACCTGCTGATTCATCCACAAAATTGCCGTAACGTAATCAACGGTCGGACGGGCCACACGGTTGGGCGGGCCATCCTGCTATCCCATATAAAAGATGTCTTTTTGATTCTATTATTTATCAATCAATACTACACTTTAGAAGCTCTAACTCTGTAGATAGATTATATATGTAAGAATAAATGTCCCATACTTTTTTCTGATTTTTAAATTTTTATTTTATATAGTCAGATCAAATTCTCATACAATACACATAAAATACAGGAATCGTAATACAATAAGCTATTAAATCTAGTCATAGGGATTTTTGAAAAGAATATAAATATTCTCCATATTATTTATAATCTATATAGAAGAAATCTAATCGTTCTAGACTATAATGGTTGAGATATATTATGTTTAAAAAAGTATCTTTTGTATGGTATTACCAGATGGCCCGCCCAACCGTGTGGCCCGTCCGACCGTTGGTTACGTTAATATAACTAGATGTTCCAGTTCCGCCAGTCGCATGACAAAGAGGACAAAGAAGATGACTGTCATGTGATTATTATCGGAGCGGGGAAACTGATGTCAGGTTGTCAAGCGAACACCTTTCCCAATATGGAGCACAAGTATCACATGACTAGCTCTCCATATGCTATACAAAGGGGAATAGTTGCCTTGCCCGCCTTGAGTTCTATCTTGAGTAATCGATTCCTATAAGCAGCATAGGGATAGTATTATTCTAAGAAAGAGCGAGCACGGCGCTAGGCGATCAACAGAACAACAGTCCACCAAAAAAATTTTCTGTACTGCATTCTCCGTAATGCCCTCCACTAATAGTAAAAGCCATACAAGCCCGCGAGTAACACTTATTATGCGAAATGTGAGATATAAAGCATGTCCACTGCCCATCGGCACATCATCCTCAGATACAATGGGTTTAGGAAGGACGGTGGGTAAATAGCTTCGCTTCAATCTGTCCTCTTGCATCACCCCTAGAAGCCTACTAATTATAGTCGAACGGCTGCCTATTTTTCTAAATTAGGTGATCGAAATGCGTCGCAATGGGGGTAACCCCTCCATCTGATAACTTTAATACTGACTGATTGGAAGAAAGACCGAAGAGGGGCATAGGTACGCGAGCAGCACTACTCCATAATAGGAAACAGTAGCGGTAGCTGGGTTGCCGAGGCGGATCAGATAATAATTGACCGACCGAGAGATTTGGCAGTGGAGATGGTATTTTTCTTTTTGAGTGGTCAACTTCTTCGTATTCTTGATATTTTTTGTGTAATGGGCTTTCCATTCTTATTCCGTGTGTCTTCTATAATGAAGAGGCTCATAAACAGCAAGGCTCTCGAATGAGTCGCGTGGAAGGACTCCTCCCCGATCTCGCTGCAATCCCATCTGATAAGATGGACCGTAGTGGAGAGCGGATCTCATTGGTTGTCTGGGACCCAGTTCTGGCAATATCCGGAATCACACGATCCGGTGTCCAGCATTCCACATCCACCAAAGCACCACCGTATTGCTGATCCTGATGGAGATATGCCAATAAGCCACTATTCCTTAGTTCTCCGTGGTATCCGGCCGGAAACCTTGGCCCGTGGATTCCAGACGTTTTCTTCCCCAATCAGTGGAGTATTGCGCAGCATATTGGTCGGTTTCCTGTGTTAGCTTTCGGTTCGTCCCACGATAGAGAAATGATGTTATCTGCGATTGCTCAGAGGAAATGGCTCTGCTGGATCCACCGGTAGCGATTGGTGTCGGGACGTGTTTCTCTTTCGGCGAAATTGTTGCGTCCCTGTTCTTAAGAGCAGAGCTTCCTCCTGTTTTCCTCGGGTGCTTTTTGTTTGTTGTCTCCTTATCATTTGGCCCATCTCCTCTCTTCCTTTTTTTGGGTGTTTCTTGTTCTTAACGTTCGGTCTTCTGTACTAAGTGCCCAACATGCCGTCAGTCACAAGCGTCTCTTCCCTCTCGCGACAGTTCCGCGTCTTGGTGGTCGGTGGCTCTTATGGTGGCTTAAGCGCAGCTTTGACCCTGCTGGACTTGTCTCATGGCCGAGTTGCCCGCTTCAATCACACCCCCGATGCTCAACCTCCTCAGAAACAAATTCCCATCCAGATAACCGTAGTAGATGAGCGGGATGGATTCTGTGAGTGTCATTCATCTATCTCACACCTCCGATATCCCAGCAGGTTGCTAATACGTACACCATCCTAGACCACCTAATCGGCTCTCCCCGGGCATTGTCATGCGAGAAGTATGCATCCAAGTCCTGGACAAAGTTCGAAGACATCCCAGCTTTGAACTCTCCGAGTATCCGGTTTCTCAGGGGTAGCGTCAACTCCGTGGACTGCCAAAGCAAAGTAGCGCGTATCCTCGATGCCCACACCAAGGAAACCAGAAAGGAGAAGTACGACTTCCTGATCGCTAGCTCTGGACTGCGTCGTGTCTTCCCGACTGTGCCTCAGTCTCTCCGTCGAGAAGAGTTTTTGGAAGAGGCGAAGAAGCACACAGATGAGGTTCGCAATAGTCAAGATGGGATCGTGGTTATCGGAGGAGGTGAGTCGATTCGTGCATGATGTGCTTGGATATAGCTCATATGATTGTATAGGCGCCGTTGGAATCGAAATGGCGACAGAATTGAGGATGCTTCATCCCGATAAGAAGATCACCTTGATCCACTCACGCGATCGCGTACTCTCGGCAGAACCTCTGCCGGCTGAGTTCCAGGATCGGGTGGGATCTCTTCTTCGTGAGGCCGGTGTCAAGGTGGTCTTTCGACAGCGGGTTGTTGACATCACGGCCATCGAGACTGAGGGCGGACGACGCATTTGGAAGCTTGAGCTGGCCGATCGCAGAAATATCTATGCGGGTCATGTCATGAACGCCGTCTCGAAAAGCGTTTCCACGTCGACTTATCTTCCCAAAGAGGCATTGACTGAAGATGGTTATGTAAAAATCCGAGCATCGTATGTCGTCTTTCCTCCCTTGTGTGTACCCAGTCGAGACTAACTTGCGTAGCACACAATTCCCCCAAAACGTTCCCAACGCGGACCATCACTTTGCCGTCGGTGATATGGCATCCTGGTCGGGGATTAAACGCTGCGGAGCCGCAATGCATATGGGCTATCATGCAGGCAATAATGTCCATCAGCTTATGCTATCGGAGATATCAAAGACTAAGCCGGAGTATATCAGTCTTCAGGAGGTGCCTCCAGTGATGGCACTCGCTATGGGCAAGACGGCAGTTACGTACACCCCGGCCCAAGGGACGAAGGATGGGGAAGATGTCCATGATGTAATGTTTGGTGAGGATATGGGCTATAGCAGTAAGTGATTCGATTAGTTTGTTGATAGGTTTGGTGTGGGAGTTTCTAACAGAGTGCAGTTTGCTGGAACTATATGCGCATGTCAGAGCCTTATGAGGCATGATTTAGCTGCATGTGTGGCCTTTCAGTTCGACTTTGACAGATCAGGTATTTGTCGTTGCTTTTATATTTTAGGAGGTCATTCTCTCTTTTTTGTTTGGGTATTCACTGGGGTGCTTCTCCAGGCTGCAGATTCAGTCATGTACTCCTGTAGTGAATGGGTACTCCTCAGTTGAACTATGGGGTGATAGAATCACCGGCGTTTTGGCTTTGGGATAGTTAGTATTGACTAGAATTGTCTGGCATAAATCTTATAATATGACCTTGAACTTGCTTTAAATCATGAATGAACCTTTCAAGCATGGCTGGTTTCAGACTAACAAATAATGCTCAAGTTACTACCGAAAACAAGACACCATTGTTGGTATCTACCTTCAATATCATACTCCACCACCGAGCCTGACAAAAACACATTCTTTGTGATTCATTACTGCATAGCCGTGGTACCTGCCACTTGAACTGATTATTTACATCCAACTACCATAGCCTAAACCTCCGACAGGGCCTGCTTCCTCGACTTGGACTGAAGATCCAAATAAGGCGCCTCACCCAGACTGCAAACCCGATCACCAGCCCGGGCTTCGACATAGTCATAGGTAGCGCAATGCCAAGTGGATCTGTTATCCCAAACTGCCATATCATTCCTATTCCACTTGAAGCGAACCTGCGCGTCGTGGTTTTGAGTAACCAGCTATCAACCATGAGCATTAGCCTCCATACTCCTGCAGCCACCACCACCACCATGTGAGGCATCCAACTTACATTGAAAAGATACTGCAACAACATATCCGACTCATCCTTGGTCACACCATTGATTCGCTTCGTGAAACCCTTATTCACATAGACCGACTTCCACCCCGTCACAGCTATAACGTTGATTAGCACCGTCACCCCCAACAAAGAAAGAATGATCACATACGGTTAGTCCTGATCACGGGATGAACGGCCTTAAGGTCCTCTCCCTGATTAAGCGGCGACCCTCGAATCCCCTTCCGCAACGGATTCCCCAACCTGCGCGCCTCATCATGAAAGAAGCTTGCATCGTGGGTCGCCGTCAATCCCTCCAGAAAAGCAGCCATTTCCGGCGACAAGCGGTCATAGATCTCGTATCCCGAGGCCCAGAGAGTGTCGCCGCCTGTTTCAGGGAGAGTGTGAATCTTGAGCATTGCGTAGTCGGAAGGTACGCGCTCGAAACTGATGTCGGTGTGCCATCCCACCGAGGCAAATCGGCTTGTGTCGCTGAGTTGGTGCGTGAGACCGCCACCTTTCTTTTGCTTTTCGCTGCTGATGACGCTGATTTGGTCGCCGAGTTCGCTGCCTTCTTCTGTTAGGGGGTGGACGTGGAGGCCGGAGGATTCGGGCTGTGGAGGTAGGTGTCAGTGGGTTTGTTCTGCGAAGGGATGGGAGGCTGGATGCGTACGCAGCCGGCTAGGAGGGTCAGCTTCTCGCCGAATTCTCGCATTTGTTGGGGCGTTATGTTCTGGTCGCGCAGGAAGACGACGCCTCGTTTCGAGACTGGGAATTGTTAGGATTGCCGGATTCGGAGACGTTGGGAGTGTGAAGGACATACTTGTCACTGCGAGATCCTTGATAACCTGGTCGCAGTTCTCCGACTTGAGGATTTCTGCAACCTGAAGACCCAGGTACTCTCTGCCAATGACCGGCGTCAAGTCCTGGTGGGAATACGAGTCTAATGATCCTGAGTACTGCAGGGGTTCTGAAATACGTGGACGAGACTCTTCGTGTCCTCCCCGGATTGTCGAGGAGGCAGCATTCTGAACGGCTGAAGGCATGATGATTGCTAGTCCGTCAGAATTATGGTGTTGAATACAACAGAAGGGCTAATTGCTTGGGATATAGTCGGCCTACGGCACCTGGCGGAATCACCACCGGTTATATAGCGGATAGGTTTAGGGAGTATCTACTTGGATGCCTTGCTACGATCACGACATCGACGAATCATCTCCACTTCGGTAAAGAAGCGTGTCGGAAAGATAAAACATGGAAACAGCGAGAATCAATCGTGCCACACACCGATGCCATCGACTGGTTGTCACTTATCACATGTTCCATGCTGATGACAACGATTCCCCCGCATCCAGCACGGGTGAACTGTGAAGGGTCTCCTCGCTGACCACCAGTCACACCGCGCCGGGCCTGTTATCGGCGGGGCATCGGCGAAATTCTCGGAGGGCTGCTGCCAGCCAGTTGCTCTAGTGCCGGCCGCTAACAAGGCCCTCCCGCCGAATCAACGGTGGCCGCACGCAAGCCGCGCAAGTCTCTGCCCGGCGTGGTTGTGGACAGCCACTGGCTCGAGAATAGCAACAGCGACACGCCAAACCTGGGGAAGCACGTCCATTGACCCCATGAGGAATGGTTTCCCTCATATTGCCGAGCTGCAGGAAGAAGAGGACATCTGGGGAAGCGCAGCTGCGATCTTCAACAGGAGTAAACCAGATGGATATGGTTGATTCGATCAGACCCATCTTTTTCCAGGTGCTTCTCCGGAACCCCTAACGGTCATTGGCCAGGATTTCCCAGGGTGCCGTTGAAATACGACTAGGCGATGATGTGCTCGGTGATCCCTCTGGTGCAATCCAGTTAGTCTTCTTCTGGATTGAAGGTATTCGTCTGCTGTAGTAACATCCAACGCCACGCATTTGGTTGGCTGGGAGAGCAACCATCGCCTTTCGCCATTGCGAATATTGGCACTACACCATAATATCTACCGTCATGTCATCTAAAATATATAAGTATTTAGCCATGGAGGTTAATCCCACGCTTGGGTCTTCCTCCACTTCGGCTTTTTTCTGTATCCTCATCGCCTGAAGACTTGTCGAAGCAGCCATGGCCGACATCGAGCAGGGCTTCAAGGGCTCGTTTAAAGCCCAGGATGTCGAAGATTCGCAGTCATCCAAGGATTCTATCGAGGTTGGACAGGAGCACCTTGCTGGTGTCACCCCTCCTCATGAATCATTCGAAGGGTACCATCGGTTCGACCCGACTGCTACCTGGACGCCAAAGGAGGAGAGAAAGCTTGTCTGGAAAACCGACCTGATGTTGCTGTCTTGGATCTGCTTTATGGTATGGCCGATACTAGATTGCATGAACAACTGTATCCGAACAACTGCTAATAGGAGCAGTTTTTCGGACTCCAACTCGACCGTGGAAATTTATCCAACGCACTCACAGATCACCTACTCGCGGATCTGGGCATGACGACCGATGATTACAACAATGTAAGTATCCCAACTTGGTTTGAAAACGCATCATTAACCGTATGACCATGTAGGGCAGCACCATTCAACTCGTCTGCTTCCTGGCTGCCGAATTTCCAGTCCAACTTCTTATCAAACGCTACGGTTTCAAACGCGTCCTTCCCACCATGATGCTGGGATGGAGCTTGGTATCCTGGACCCAATCCTGGATGACCAGTCGGGCTGGTTTCTACGTGACCAGGGCTCTCATCGGTGCCTTTGAGGGTGGCTTTATTCCCGGTACAATTCTCTTTGCAACCTACTTCTATAAGACCAAAGAACTCTCGGTCCGACTGGCATTCTTCTGGTCAACGCTGAACGTGAGTATCGCATCCATTACTGAACCCTCAATCAACAAAGCTGACCACCTCTTTAGGTCGCACGTATCGTCTCCTCCCTTCTGGCCGCCGGAATCCTCCAGATGCGCGGTGTCCAAGGAAAGTCAGGCTGGTTCTGGCTTTTCCTCATCGATGGACTACTCACGTTCCTCATCGGACTAGTCGTACGCACTCACTCCCCTCTAAACCAGCCAACAAACCCTCTCTAACATCTACCCACACACAGAGTCTATTCTACCTCCCCACCTCTCCAACCAACACCAAAAGCGTCCTGGTCCCTCGACCCTGGTACACCGAGCGCGAAGAAGTCATCATGATCAACGTAAGCCCCCCATCCCCTCCCCCATACCAACCCCCTACCCCTACTCACCACCCAACTCCAGCGCCTCCTCCGCGACGACCCCTCCAAAGGCCTCACACACATCAACGAACGCGCCACACTCCGCGATATCCTCTCCGCCTGGAAAGACCCCTCAATGTGGGGTCTCTACTTCATCGGCCTAGTCGCCTACATCCCCCAAAGCCCCATCCAATCCTACCTCTCCCTGACCCTCACCCGCCTCGGTTTTGACACCTTCGACGCGAACATGCTGTCCATCCCCTCCGCCGCCCTCCAAATTATCCTCATGCTCGCGGTCTCCAAAAGCAGCGACATATTCGGCGAACGCACCTTCCACTGCTTCTTCGGGGAATTCTGGTCCCTCCCGCTGCTGATCGCATTACTGAAATTACCCGATCACGGATACAATTGGCCCCGATTTACCATTTCGACTATGATCTCCGGGTATCCGTATTTTCATCCGATTGTGTCGGCGTGGATCTCGGAGAATACTTTCGATGTGAAGAAGAGGGCTATTACGGCTGCGACGTATAATGTTATTGTGCAGGTTGGGTCGATTATTTCGTCGCGTGAGTGGTTTCTCCACCCCCCCCCCCTGTTGTTGGGTTGGGTTGGGTGTGGTTGCTAACTTGGTGAATAGAGATCTATCGGTCGAGTGACTCGCCGTACTATTATACAGGGAATAAGGTGCTTATTTCCCTGTGTGTGCTGTCGTTGGTGGTGTTTGTTGCTCAGCGCGAGCTGTTGCGGTACTTGAATAGACAGAAGGAGAGGAAGTGGCAGGCTATGTCTCCGGAGGAGCGAGTCTTGTATCAGTCTGACAAGGAGGCGCGCGAAAAGGAGGGGAATAAGCGGCTGGATTTCCGCTTTAAATACTGATGGACGAGTGTGTATATGGCAGATTGGCTGCCAAATGTGGTAACTTGGATCTGGTATTGGATTTCATAGGTACATAATATAATTGCATTTATTTCATGACATGCTGAGGGGATAGCAGAATGGGTATATACGGGTAGGAGCGTGCTCATCAAATGTGTGCGGGTTGGACGTCAGGCCAGAAAGCCTTCACCCGACAAGGCTGGATCTAGGAAGTCATTGCCCGAGAAGTAGTGCTCGGATGGGAATTGACCCTCAGGGATCTGGGAGATAAAATCGTTGATCAACATCTCGACTGACCCGGAAGGTAAAGAAGGTGACAGTGAATGTAGACTCAAAGGTGTGTTTCTCGTATCGTCCAGTGAGAAGGAGTATGGTAGAGAAGTGCTAAGACAGGGGTCATATGCACATTGAGAATAGTCAGGCTGTGGCGGAAATGCGGTCCCTGGAAACAGCATCTCTTCCAGTGACTGCAGATCGTTGTACCCGCTCGCCTCGTGCCCCAGACTGATACTATCTTGAGAATACTCATGCCCCATAGGTTGCATACCAGAGTGCTGGGACGACCAATGGGCGATCGGATCGATGTCGTCAGGCATGGGACTTGCAGCTTCCACTGCAGCAGTGGGCCCTTTATGGGCTAGCTTTTCTCCACCTGGAACAGAATCGGTGGTTCCAGGGAGCATTTTATTGTTGACTGGTATATGCGGGTCTCTTATTGGCAGTGATAGCGCAGGACCACTTCTAGCCTGGGCATCTGCCATTTTCTTATACAGTAGCTCGGCTAGCTCCTTGTTGCCCCCACCTCTGAAGGTGAATAGGATCGAGTGCAGTCGGGCTAGGATGTTGCTGGGGCGGCTTTCATTGTCCCAGGTGGGGGCGCGAGGCAGCATTGCAAGATCTATTACGGCATCGGCGAGTGAGCTGGCAATCTCGTATAGTTTCAACTCCTGCACTCTATAGTTAATGATACGACCTTCTTGTTGTGGCTCCAAAGCAACATACCATACCGAGCCCGTGGGCTTCAATTGCCGCTCTCGGCAGCTGAGAGACTATGTTTAAAAGCTCTTTTGCGACTAATATCGGAAAGGACGGAGATGTCGGCCAGTGAGATGACGAGCCAGGCCTTTTCTTGGACGAGACTTTCCACAGAATCATGCGCATCCAATGCCTGGTGACGCAGAGGTCTGCCTTTTGAACGTCTGAGATGTGGTCCAGCAGGGCCGACCCGTCTTGCAGATTATCCTGCAGCATCCCCAGAAACCGTTTGTCAAGGCTATGGATTTCATTTGAGATTGATTCCATTCCACCATGATCATCCTCAATGATATCGAACATCTTCGATTGTTCAAACAGGCGAAATAGATTGAGCAGCTTCAGAAATGCGGGGAGAACCTGGGGCTCATCATTTGCATCAAGCTCTGGCGTTGAAATATCGGTCCTCAAGACTACAGGGAGTTTGTGGAGGATGCAGACGCCACTAGATATGGATTAGAACTGATGGCGCAGAGAAGATCGGATTATTTACCGTTCTGTGACAAACAGAAGCCATAGCACTCGACGCCGCATTTGTTGCTCGTCTGGAGAAAGGCCACCGTATGAAACTTCGCGATGCAGGCACATCATCTGAGCCAGTGTGATGGCTTCCCTCAAGTACAAGAGCGATTCGCTTGCGCCCGACTGCTGGTTTTCGTAATAAACATGCAGAAAGAAAGCTGTCCGCACATTATTCAGATTGAGTCGCGATCGATAATCGCAGGATCTTCGGGCTTTCATGCACTCTGCCGCAAAAGTGTCGGCAGTTATCGACTTGTCGGGGAGGGAATTCTGCCCTAGCCTTAACTGAGCAATTGTTGCAGCTGCCACGGCGGTTGTCAGTGCGTAGGTTTCGTGATCCTTCTCCTCAGTATCTTGTTGTAAAATGGACATGACACTTTCGACATCCACAATGGGCCAGACGGGATACATGCGCACGTGGTAGATGTAAAGCGGGGAGGCGAGGATGTTGGTGGGTATCCGAGATCTGAACGCTTGGAGAGTCAGTGGTCGCGATTGACATATTCGGGCCCGCTCGCGTATGCAGCAGAAATAGTGTGTGCTCATTCCAAGCGGGGATAAAGTAGGATTGTAACGCACCTTTCTGATGTCGCGCCGCATTTCTGAGGCACTGGTGTTGGGATGTGGTCATTTTCCAGCACCTCCCCGCTCAGCGGAGCCGAGGGTAACGAAGTATGTACTTCCACTCCCCGTTGCGCTTGGTCTATGAGGTATTTAGTTGTCGCACGCAGCTTCTGGGGGCCACGAGGCTGCTGGACTCGAATGTAGGTGCATTTGATGCGTGCATTGAAGCAGGACCGGCATGGTTGGCCACCACCACATCGGATCTTTCGAATCTTACATCCGTCGCATGCCTTCTTGGTTATGCTTGTTCTGGAGGACATCTTTGCGTAGTGTAATCACAGGTGCAGAACAAGGTATTCTGGCCGAAGGCATGACAGGATGAAGCAGGAGCAGGTCGAGAAAGATTCGACGGCGACAGGTGTCAGTTGAGCCGAAAATCAGCCAGTAGCGTGACGCTGCATATTCCAGACAATTCGGGTCGTCAAGGGGACTCCAATCACCCCGAGGTCATTGCGGGGCAGCCATGCGTTGTTTGAGTGGTGCAGCTCGAAGCGAGGCACTGGTGCAGGCGTGGCGTATCCGAGTTTTCAATGGAACAGTTCTGGGTGACTCCGATGTGATGTTCATTAGATTGCTTGTCTTACGATCTTTTTGCAGCGAAAGCTGTTGCGATGAAGCCAAACGGGCGATAGCGGTGATTGCGTCTTCCACTCCACGCGGCACGCCATTGTCCAGACCCACTCGGGGCCTGACATCCCAGCACGCAGTCATCCCAGCACAGTGTGAGCAACGCATCGTGTCCTTTCCAAACAATGGAGGTGCATAGTATGGATCTGTGAAATGGAAGAGAATAGAATTAGCAATACTGAGTAGCAGTCACAGGAGAGGAAGGAAGTTCGCTGTGAAACTGTGGCATTGACCTCATACCTCACCAGATGCTGTGGCATTCAATTTGACAGCTGCAAAGCAATTGTTGGTATATGTACAGATTTTAGGTCTAGATCAACTCAGGGAGATAAGAAAGAGCAAAGAACGAGGCACGTAGAGAAATCCCAGCAAAGATGAAGGTAAAAGTTGGTCGCCGTTGGGACTTTAAACGGCAACTGCTTGTCACCTGACAAGCATGGTATCTTGCTACAGACTCGTCTTTCACTCTCATGCTAATCTACGCCCGAGAATTTCACCGAGACAATTCTCTACTACATTATTGCTACTCCGTACACTCAGTTGCGATACACAGTAAGAAGATAGACCCTGGGTAGCTCTGGCCAGGCCACTAGTGCCGATGCTAACGGTCCCCAGGCTAAAAGACCCTCCGAGTATTCCTCCGACGCCTCTGCTGGCCTCCGCATTAGCCCCTCCATGCGCTGCTATCCCTATGATTGGCTTTGACCCAGCACGAGGCCCCGGGGTTCTTGTCGAGAGTAGTGCCACTGGCCAATCGTCTTGGACTTGCGATTTCACCTCCGCGGGCGCGACGCAATGGCTGTCGCAACCTAGCAGATAAATTGGTCCGTTGCCCCTCGTGGGATTGATTGCCTTTCAATACTCTTCTCATTGCTCTATCTGCTGTTTGTGACATCTCACTCTCAGAAATTAATAATACTCATAAACTATGGCGTGGCCTAACAAGAACAACGACATGCTCTACCGGCGGGTAGGCAACTCAGGCCTACACGTCTCTGCACTTGGATTGGGAGGGTGGTTGACGTGAGTGCTGATCTTCTGAGAGAAATGTCGAAGCATACCTAATCTTTTTGTTCCATAGATTCGGTGGACATGTCGACAACGGTACAATTCCTAAACCAATCCGCGAGTGTCCGACAGCTAACTGTTCAATCTCGCAGAAATTACCTTCAACTGCATGAAGCAAGCTTACGACTTGGGAATCAACTTCTTTGACACAGCTGAGAGCTATGCAGGCGGACAATCAGAGATCGTCATGGGTCAAGCCATTAAGAAGTTTGGCTGGAAGCGCAGCGATCTTGTCATCACCACCAAAGTATGTCACTTCCCTTCCATGACCGAAGAAGTGCAGGATTGACGAAAGCAGCTCAACTGGGGTCTCGCGAATGGCGAAATCCTCATTAACAACCACGGTCTTTCCCGCAAACACATCATCGAAGGCACACGAGCATCCCTCGAACGTCTACAACTCGAATACGTTGACATCATCTACGCCCACCGTCCCGATCGCCTCACACCCATGGAAGAGACCGTGCGGGCCTTCAACCATGTCATTGAGAAAGGCTGGGCCTTTTACTGGGGTACATCGGAGTGGTCTGCGGACGAGATCAGCGAAGCGTGCGGCATTGCCAGGGCTCTGGGACTGATCGCGCCCATTGTCGAACAGCCCCTGTACAACATGTTGGATCGGCAGAAGGTGGAAGGCCAGTACCAGCGACTGTACTCCCGGTACGGCATCGGTTTGACCACTTTCTCGCCGTTGAAGATGGGTCTCCTCAGTGGCAAGTACAATGATGCGACGACGCAGCCTCCCCCGGGCTCCCGGTTCGCTGAGAGCAACGACAAGTTTGCAAGCAGTGTGCGCCAGGACTGGGAGAATGAGCAATGGGCGGGTAATATCAAGAAGATTGTCGGACTGAAGGTAAGCTGCCAGTGGATATGAAAGGGGATTTGGCTAACAGATTCAGGCACTGGCGGACAAAATGGAAGTTAAGCTATCGCAGCTGGCTTTGGCATGGTGCTTGAAGAACGAGAACGTCTCATCTGTTATCACGGGTGCCTCGAGACCGGAACAGGTTGTCGACAACGTGGAGAGTTTGAAGCTGTTGCCACGTCTGACACCGGAGATTATGGCGGAGATTGATGAATATTTGCAGAACAAGCCTGCTCAGGATCCTGCTCGACAGGATTAGACAGAACCTAGACAAAAGATGAACCTAATGAATGCATATGCCACATACAGTAGACCTCCAAGCTTACTGCATTTAGAACCACGGAACCACGGTTCCTCAACAACCACCCCTGCGGGAAATACAAAGACACAAGCACGTGTCTGTCCAGCTCCACGGTTTACACATTACATCACCCCCCGCATCCATCCCTCTCCCTCACTTCCAACCTCATTCCCAGCAACATCTTATGCTCATCTCTAACCCCCAATCCAAGGGAATCATGACCTCTACTATCACTACCTATCACCTACCGACCATCCAACACCACCACACCTCAATCCCATTTCCGCATCCTCCCAAAACAAACCTCCACCTCACATCCCCAAACCAACAACCAACACCTTCAATCCAAACAACCCCCCAAGCTCAACCCCAAACACCACCACCCCCTCCCCATCAATCTCCAATCCCAACCCCAACAAACCCACCCTCCTAACCCTCCCCCCAGAACTCCACCTCCACATAACCACCTTCCTCCCCCGCCTCCCAACCACCCTCATCTCCCTCCGCCAAACAAACACCTACTTCCGGGCCCTCCTCCCCGCACCAACCCACACCGATCTCCTCTCCGCCGAGACCTCCCCATGGGCAATAACCCACGATTTATATGCCTGTCGATATTGTTTACGGCTTCGGCCGGGACGGTTCTTTGCGGATCGGATGTTGAAGAAGGGACGGGGACGGTATGCGAGGTGCAAGGAGAGGGGGAAGAGGTTTTGTTTGGAGTGTGGGGTGATGCCTAGGGGGGAAGATAGGGGAGATGGGGGAGGAGGAGAGGCGAGGTATGCGGTCGGGACGTTGGTGAGGGTGGATGGGGAGTTGAGGGTTTTTTGTGGTGGGTGTGGGGGGTGATGGGGTTGGTGGGGGTGGATGTGGATGTGGAGATGGAGATGGAGAAGAGGGATGAGGAGGGAAAAGAAAGAGGGAGAGAGAGAGGGAGGAGGAAGGTGATGGTTTGTGAGGGGTGTTTGGGGAGGGGTTAGTATTTGGGTTTGGGGAGGGGGTTTGTTTGTTATGATTGATACCCTGTTGGTTTTGTGTATCTTATGGTGATTATAATACCGAAGGAACAAGGACAAAGGCATAGTATGTATGTCTCAATAGTCCAATGGACATCAACTGTCAGGACATTTGATCCTTTCTCTTTTTTGATACCAACCAACAAAGACTCAGACATACTGATCATCAATATCTCCAAACAGTACTCATCCAATTCATACCCTCTCGCTCAAACTACACCAAATCACAGTAAAATGCCTTATACTTGTCCTACATTTCATGCTGATAAGCTCCACCAAGCTGCTCTCATCCAAGCCAGTCCAAGAATCATGAATGCTCCTCATGATGATTGATATCTTCAGCCTCATCTCACGCAAATAGTTCTAGGTGATTCTGTATGCGTCAAATGGAGGAACAGCGTGGCAATTTGGCTGATGAATGGCAATGTCTTCGCTACTGTCATATATCACATATATCTCGTAGATTAGTACCTCAGTGGCAGGTGCCTCCCTACCTGGGTGCTTGTTGAAATAATTAATTCTGGCATTCAGTGAGAAGGCACTCAAGCCCGATTAGAGATTCAAATGGGGATTAAGGTATCAGACACGAACTCTTGCCAGGAGCCAGCAAGGAAAATTACATTGCTTCAAGTGTAGTAGTATGTGGATAAGTAAGTAGTCGAGTCCACAAACGAAAATGTCACGTTCCTCCCGTGCAACTCGGATCCTAACCTCAACAAAACACAGCAGCTAAAGAGACAACAACAATCCCCATCAATATCTAGTAAATAAGTATACATGAGATTTCTGCAGCTTATCTTAACGCATCGGCAATTCTCCCCCGCGCCAGGGAAGGATCGAGGATCCAACAACCTTAAGCGACGACATGCCAATCAGACCCGATGGACGGGCGCCTAGCTTGGATGACGCCATCCAACCTTGTAATCAACCATCATATACTTCTCTCTGGTACTCAGGAACCAGATCGGTATATCTTCAACTTATATCCATCTTCTTCTCTGTTTTTTTTTCGTACCCTACGTACCCTCAAAGCAATTTTGGAGCCCGGAGAACACCGGGAATGATTATCTGACGTCTCATGCAGAGAACGCTCGTATTCTACGAATCAGTGTCCCACGACGCTCCGGTCAGACTGATGAAGGCAGTAATGATGGTGTAGATCTCAACTCAGCATACCAGTAACTCCGTCTCAACCGATCGACTTGCCTTCCATTGCTTTCCATCAGGGGGGTTCAGAGTCCACCGCCATTCGGCTGATTTGTCATCGGGGTCCAATGTTTAGGAATCAAGCCCCTCTGCCCTCCAGGCATCTATAACTGCGTGTCCTTAGCAGCCTTATTTAAACTCCTCCAATTCTTTCAATCAATCCATCCTCAACCATCAAACCACAATTCCTTTCCCAAACAATCCCATCCACACATCCACAATGGCCTCTTTCGGAACCATCTACAGCTACCCCGACAACCCCCGGGTCATGAAGGTAACCACACCCCTCCACCACCGGTTCTCTACGAACATCCCACTAATCCAAACCACAGACCCAGGCGGCTGCCAACTTCAACGGCCTGACCCTCACCCACGCCGACTTCACCATGCGCGTCACCAACCGTGAACCCTCCTTCCTCGCCAAGTTCCCCATGGGCAAGGTCCCTGCTTTCGAAGCCGCAGACGGTACCCTGCTCGTCGAGTCGGATGCTATCACTCAATACGTTGCCGACAGTGGACCCGCCGCGGGACAGTTGCTGGGTGCCACCCCGGCCGAGCGGGCTCTGATCCGCCAGTGGATCTGTTTCGCCGACGGCGAGCTGAACGCCAGCATCGCCCAACTGGTTTACTGGAGACTCGGTTTCCGGGAGTTCAATGCCAACACCGAGAAGGAGGGATTGGAGAGGCTGAACCGCAGCCTGGAGTACCTCGAGAACCGCCTCGCTGGTCGCTCCTGGATTGCCACGGACAAGGTCAGCTTGGCGGATATCTCGGTTGCAGCTGCCTTGTACTGGGGCTTCAGCATGGTGATTGATGCGGAGATGCGCAAGAATTACCCGGGCGTGGTGGCTTGGTATGAGCGCACCCTCGACAGCGAGCATGTCAAGGAGGCCTTTGGTCCTAAGAACTTTGTCGAGAAAAGAAAGGAGGCCAACTAGGCCGATGGATCAGACACATTAATGATTTATGACAATAGTGAAAAAATAATACAATTGACGTTGTTCCAACGGAAGAATAGAGTATCGCTCGCGGCTAGTGATATGAACCATCATGGATCCAGCCACAACCAGCGGTTCCAAGTATTAATGTACCAAGTATGAATGCACAAACGATAGGAGCCAAGCAACTTCCTCATCACTCATTACAAACGGGCCAGGACGGCTTTGTCGCTGTCCTTCCGCAGTGATCGGGCAAGATTCCGACTGGCCCAGTCGGCAATGGCCATGTTGGTGATCATCGGGTTGACGCCGCTGGCGCTGGGAAACACCGACGCATCCACCACATACAAGCCTCGCGTTCCCCAGACCTGACAATCGGAATCCACCACGCTCGTCCGGGGAGACTTGCCCATGCGACACGTGCCCATCTGGTGCGCACTGGCAAACATGGTCCGCTCGGGATCGAGAGGTCTCTTGCGCCGCAATTCCGCGATCCACGCTTGGAGGGCTGCATTATTTGCACCTTCGGGATCCTCTGCATCGGACATCTCGGGGCGGATGAAAGGGGGCATTTCGCGCCACGTTGTGTGAAACTCCTTCGCACCAGTTACAAAGGCCATCTTCGCGCTGGCGACCAAGGCATCGGCAATGTGTTTACGGTCAAAGGCGGAAACCGTATAGTCGATCCGGCATCGTCCATCGACAGGATCGGGGTAAACTCGCCCAGAGCCTCGATCCCTGGCGAGCATGATCAACCCGGCCGTTCGGGGCAGCTTGTGAGCCCACATCTTGTAATCAAGACCATTGCGCCAGGGGAAGATGGGAAGAAAGGCGGCGGGCAACATCGATAAGGCTTCGATTTTGACACCATGTCCATGGCCATCGAGGTTTTCGAACTCGTTGACAACGGTGGTCAACGCAGTGCCTTCCCAGGGGCGAATCTCCTCTTCCAACACCACACCCGCTATAGCGACTATGTCTCGTCAGTAACTGCGTACTGTCATTCTCACGGATGCAACTTACCAGGATGTAGGTGGAGATTTCGGCCAATATGAGGATTTTTCAGTCCGCTGCGTAGGAGCAGCAGAGGGCTTTGCAGCGTGCCGCAAGAAACGACAACTCGTTTCGCCTTAATGATGACCTTTCGCCTGATTGCAGTCACGCCTGTTCGCCCTAGGTAGGCGTCCCTCGATTTCCATATACCCTCGACACCTGATGCAACCTGACCATCTTTAGTGTCGGTAAACAGAATTTTGTCTGCACGAAAGCCTTCGACAAAAGTTGCACCGGCGGTGGCAGCATCAGCCAAGAACGTCTCTGTTGGGCCCTTTTTCCCGGTCGAGTGGCAGCCGAGCGTACAATAGCCACAGTAATGCTCACCATGCCCCGTGTTCTGCGGCACGGTCTTTGTGGAGTAGCCTAGCCTCCGAGCGCCTTCGAGTAAGAAGCGGTTGGCCTTGTTGTGCTTGATATGTTCGGTATCGACCCCCATCCGTTCCGAGACGCGATCCATGCATTTCTGGAACTCCCCCGAGGTGAAGAACGGCAGGCCAATCTTGGCCCATTCCTCGCGCACAAAGCCCTGCGTTTGCAGAGAAGCGGACCAGTTGACAGTGCCACCGCCACCCCAGGTTGAGCCGGCAAGGACAGCCAGTGAGCCATCGTCGGTCGCAACAGCGCCCCCTCCCTCGAACATGCTAACAAAACCCTCGTTGAAGTTCATGGGGAAATGATCTGACGTGTAATGATATGCCTTCTCCACCACCAGGACTTTGTGGCCTGCTTCGGCGAGATTCTTCGCAGCCACACTGCCGCCACAGCCACTACCGACAATGATTACATCGGTCTCGATGATCTCCGGTTCATCTGAGGAAGGGAATTGTAGAAAACTGTACTTGAAACCATTGGCGGGTTTCCCGTGGACCGGCACTCTCGGGAAACCAATGACCGGGCACAGAGTCGGGCTGAAGGTCACCCACGTCCTCTTGAAGACCCCCGTGAGAGCCCGGTAAACGGCTCGCAGCGGACTTAGCCGGGATGTCTCCCATCCACAGAAGATCTCTTCACGGATATAGATAGGCTGATCCTGAATGGGGGTCACGGACCCTGTTAAGACGAGTGAACCAGCTCGTGTACTAGACATGTCCTGTTAGCTTCCACACTGATCACCCGAGACCGGGATTGCGTACTTGAGAGCATTCAGGATGAAACCCAAGCCATTTCTCCCTTCTTCATGCACGTATTGCGAGAACAGGCGCTCCAGCCCCTCGCGGAACCGAGGATTCGACGATGCGTCTTCCTCTAGGTACTGGATGGCAATGGTAGCCGCGTCAGGGGAGGCAATGCTTCTGGTCAATGTTGAGAGAGTTCTGTTCAGGTCCGAATGCGGTATCACCTTGGTCGAGGCCGACTTGTACGCCGTAGGGCTACGAATCGAAGGAATGACTGCGTCAGCCAAGGCCAGTAGAGTCGTCCATTGTTGGTCTGTGAACACCGGCGTGGATGAGACGGGAGGGAGGGTCACATCCCGAGGGACGTAATGAACGGTCAATTCGGCCATTGGGCACAGCTATCCCCCTGCTCAATTAATGATAGATACAGTCAGGTCAAACGAGTGAGGTCAGGGGACCGAGGACAATGGCCACAGATAAATGGTAGCAAGGTAGCCCACGGTTGTCGAGGAGGAGAAAATGAGCTCTCCAGCTGCCACTCAAATACTAGCGGACAAAGGAGCGCCTTCCTGAAAATCCGAGCAGGGGTCCCAGAGGAGTAATGCTTGCGAACTGCAGGGAGGGGAGCCTAAAAACCACGGGGAAAGCACAATGGATCCCTCCCTAATTCCCAAATACGATCCGACTCGCTCATCGGCCTCCACCAGGCATGGCAAACACGGCTCGACCCCATATTTGTGCGGCTCGTCGATCAGCCCAAACCACCGAGGCAGCCCTGAAAAGGGGCCTGAGATGGCCTGAGATGGCCAGCAAAGTTGCAGACTGGATACCAGTGGGGCAGGGCCCGAAAGTCTATAGCAAAGCCCAGAGCATCGAGAAGCTGGCGTGGTGCTGGTTGGCTGCCATGGCCAGCTGGCGGATCCGCCGAGGCCAAAGAGTGTCTGTTGATGCGGGGAATCGGCGCAACCGAGATTCGTCGGCAGTATTTCACTGCGTTGGATGCGCTTGCCATGTGAGACGGGCTGCCATCCGTTTGGCTGTCAATCTCTCGGAGAATGAATCTGGTGGACTGTATTCGGCGTCATGATGTCGTGTGAGATGATGTACGGTCTCAGGCTGCCCAGGCCATAACCGCGGTACTTCAACGGGTGGCTTGGGATGGAGACGAGTGTTGTTCGACCATGATTGCTCCCTCTTCAGCTGCTCAGAACTCCGATGATCCAAGCTCCTGATGACCCTGGTTAAGGCCGACCGACTGCGAGAACAAAGCGAAAGCCAAACGACGGACGGTTCCTTCTTCGAGGCCAGCCCGGAATGCCTGCGCCGAAGCTCCGGGCGCGTAACTTCAGCTCAATCTGTTGCCATCAACCAATGCTGTTGCTGTTGGGTCGGGTGTGATTCACCAGTGGTCACCTCCATCTGCATGCCTCTGTCAGGGTCGATCCTGTCGCCCTTTTCTTGTCGTGTTCTTCCCTGGACTTGTTGATTCCATCTTCCCCAGAGACGATCCGAACGGGCGCAATCGGCCTGGCACTCCACCACCACAACCGATCGCTTTGGATTGGATTCATCTATCTGCATGTGCCTAGCCATCCCTCGAGAAGCGAAGGACCATACAGCCGGCCTCGTGTGAAAGCCCGCTTTCATTTGCGACCGTGCATCACACCGTGGGGGGCCGTTCTTGCAGCACGCGCCCGCGCCCGCGCATTCCCAGCTGCGCATCCACGCATGGATGGGCCTGAATGCGCATGGATTCAATCCCTCGTTACGGGCTCCATTGATCAGAACAACTTTCCGACTGCAGAGATGGCGAGTGAGGCTGGACGACCGATCGTGAGCCAGTCGCCCAGCAGACGGGAACCCAAATGCACGCTGCCGCCGGAGAAGGTCTTTTCGATCCAGATAGGAACGGAGCTCTTCCGGCTCTCAGGGGCCTCCATTGCTTCCGATGGTCAGTCGACCCATCTCAGTCGTCCTCATGGCTGATCTGTCACTAAACGTTCTGGAGCCCCGTCATATTTCTCCCGCTTCTTCGAAGAACAGCTGCGCCTGCATGGAGACGTCTCCAACGTCAGAACCCTCTACATTGATCGGGATCCGACTACATTCCAGGAGATTGCCAAACATCTGCAAGGTAGGAATCATGTTACGCGGAGAGATATTGTCGCACCTTGGTTAACCGTGTTGGCTCGACTAGGCTACCATATCCTGCCCAAAGATGGGCCCCAATTCGTGAAGTTCTTCGCCGATGCCCAGTTCTACAGCTGTATGGATGCCATCCGGTCATTTGCAAGCGAAGGTAGTTGCTGATCTCCACAGTGCCTCGGTTGATCTCCCAACTGTTCGAATCGGAGATCTTCGTCCGAATTGGTGGTCGCAATTTCCAGATCCCTCGCGACATCTTCTCCGGCCCTGGTGATACTCCGAACTTCTTCACGTTGGGATTCGCGGCCTTTTTTGCCTCGCCGACGGAAGTATTTCCCGGGCTCGACCGGCAAGGTTTGCTGCGGCCACCGGCGATCACACCCCCCAGCGTCCCCAGCCGTTCGGGGGAAGTCTTTGCACAGCTCCTCCACCTCCTTCGCGGGTATCCTTTGGACATTCGAAGCGAATCGCATCGCGAAGAGCTCCTTCGAGATTGTCGCTACTTCCATCTACGTGGGCTGGAGCAGAAACTTATACCTCATCATATCAGCTTCAACCCCGTCCGCAAACGGGATGAGATTATCATCCGTCTCGAGGACGTCCGTCGGTCTGGCATTGATGTCGAGGATATCCCTCTTCCTCCCGGCCCGATGCAGGCGGACGTCGTGTCCGCAGGCTTTGTTACCTATACGCGGCCGTTCATTGACGAGAAGAAGTACGATTTGATCATCGAGATTGGCGACGAAAGCACCGTCCTCGACATGACCAGCAGACGTCCCACCTTTCTGGGCGCTACGAAAACCCGCATCACCAGCCTCTTGCAGATAATCGCCAGCAAGAAACCCAACCAGAACCGGCTAGCAGGGATGGATGGATCGCAGCCCCCACCGGAAGACCGTCTGTGGGCCTCGCTGTCGATGGACACTGATATGACCGTTGATGGAGAACGAGAATACTTTCCCGACATCCTCCGGGACAATACGCCTGGCCTGGAACATCTCTCAGAGGAACCGCAGAGAAAGCGCAAACGCGTCGACGAAGGCTCCATTGACCGTCCTTGGGTCGTGCGCAACGGACAGTGGCGACTGTGCCTGCAGCCGAGGGCGAAGGGCGATGGTATGGATTTTATCATGGTGGCAGTCAAGTTGGACGTGTTTACGCGGCAGCGAACGCGCAATCGGATGAGGACGTTTCTGGGGTCCTAATGCTCTATACTAGATACATGAATCTTATATACTGTACATGTCCGTTAGTTAGCTTTACGATAGACCACGAGAATCAATCTGAGAATCCCTCCCACTCGTCATCCTCTTCTTCCTTGTCATCTTCCTCTTCCTCTTCCTTACCCTCATCCCTCCCCCTATCCTCACTCCCATCCTCAATCTCAACGCCACCAGAACCCTCCACATCTCCATCCCTCACAAACCCAGCCACAAAGAACCCCCCCGTCCCCTCTTCATCCCCGGGCCAACACCGCAAACAACCCTCCAACTCCTCATCAGACAGTCTCACCTCCACCCCAGCCCCAGCCCCAGCCCCATTCCCATCCTCTCCAGCTCCATTCCCACCCTCAACCCCCCGATCAACCCTAATCCCCCTATGTTTCCACTTCCTCATCCCAACCGGCTGCTCATCCCTCCTCAGAACCCTCCACCCTCTCCTCTTCGCCACCTTAGACGCCAGAATCCGCGACACGACCGCCTCGTTCTCCAACAGATGGATCGAGCACGTACTATACGTGACGCGGGTCGCGGCCGGGAAACTCAGCGCGTGTTCCACGATCCGGGTCTGCAAGTTAGATAGTTTGAGGAGTCGGTCTGTGTCTGTTCCTGAGACGGAGACGTCGTTTTCGTCGGTTGCGGATGGGGTGCTGGTTTGGGTTGTGCTGGTGGTGGGTTTTCCGCGGCCGTTTGTGCCTTCGTCGTCTGGTCTGCGTTTGCGTTTTTTGTTTGCTCCTCCGGAGGAGGTAGAAGAACCTGTGGTGGGGTTGGATTCAGGGAGGACTAGTTTGGGGATATCGTCGCGGCCGATGATTCCACTTCCTGAGCAACTAGGATCGAGGAGGAGGCCTTCTACGTCTTCGAAGCGGGGGTCTTCTGGGTCGAGGGCGAGGAAATCTTGTCCGGCGAGGACGGTGACTGATTTGTTGGCGCCCGCGGTGGAAACCATTTTCTGGAGGGTCTTCGCACGGAGTTGGGATTGGTCCATTGAGTAGATGTGGTGTTTTCCTTTGGTGTTGGTTTTGGCGAGCAAGGATGCCATGTGGGTTGTTTTGTTTCCTGGTGCGGCGCAGCCATCTAGTAAACCGCCGCCAGTCCAGGTGTTGTCGCCGATGAGGAGATATGCGGGGAAGCAACTGGCTTTGTCTTGGAGGATGATTTCGCCGTTTTTGTAGGCCGGGGAGGAGATGAATTCCGTTCCGGGTGCTACGGCGATTAGGTCGGGGACGTGGGGGTCGATGAGCATGGTTTTGCGGCCGGGGATGGTGAGGTCTGTTAGGGAGGTGACTTTTTCGTAGTCGGAGAAGGTGGTGGTGAGTTGGTGGGACATTGTGGTGAGGAGGTTGTTGACGCGGACCCAGCGGGGGTAGATGGATGCGAGGGGACCTTGTAGGGCGAGTTTCTCCTTCTGGATGGCATCTTTGAGGTCTGGGATGGAGGCGCAGCCGCGGCGGACGCGCGCTTTGGTGAATTCGCCGCGTAGACGGGTTTTGTGGCGCTCGATGGCGAGACGGAGGGGGTGGGTGGAGGTTGCGGCGAGGCCGGATTTCGTGAGGAGGTGGTCGTGCACGAGGAGGAGGGAGAGGAGGGGGGTTAACTGGTTGTTTAGGGATTGGTTAGTTGGTGTTCTCGAGAGGGTTTATGGTTAAGTAGGATATTGGCGGGGTGTGAGGTGTGGGAGAGTAGGGTATGGAGTACCTTTGGTTCCAGTTTAAGGATCCCTGCTGCCTCAATGACTTCTTTGAGCAGAATGTCCCATTTTGAAGCTTCGATGATCAAGGCGTACACTTGTGCGGGTGAGGCCTTGATGTTGCGGGCATTGTAGATGCGCGATTTGAAAGAGCCGCCTGTGGCAGGGGCCGTGAGGATCGACACGGCGTCGTAGTAGAGAGACATTGTGGTTATTGCATGGTTGATGGTGGTGGAAGCTGGATGGATTTGCGATGCGATGCGATGCAGGAAAACTTGGTGTTTGCATTGTTTGGTTGGTGATGGCTCCGCGGAGGACATCCAGTCCATTTTCTACATTTATACCGGCAAAAGCTAAATAAGATTAATAATGAACTCTAGACTTCTATATCTCAAGGTCTACAGCATGCAGACTCCATGTGATGTACAACCACCACCCTTCCAGTCCTCCACCCAACCTGATCAATCAACACCAACCAGTCGGCATCCTTATCTCCGCATCTCCGCATCTCCGTCCGATCTACACTTACTGAGGCGGACTATAACGACCAACTGTGTGGAAGTGTCTTCAAGAAATCCGAAACAACCAACTAGACAATCAAAAAAAGAACCTAATAGGTCCATGTCCATGAAATTAACTCTGAACCATTTTAGTAACATACAACCCAACCACTTCCCCTTACAGCACCTCCGCCACCATACCGAGATCCAGTTGTCACAGGAAGGGCGTGCTTCTACCCACCATGTATACTTCCTCCATCTTATCAAGGCCACTTTCATCCGCTCAGTACTTAACCCCCCATCCCCTCCTCCACAAACTCTCACCACCTCCCTCTCTTCCTTCCTCCTCCCTCCCAAACCAACCAAACACCAAAATGTCCCCCCCGGCTCCAACATTCACAACCACCCTAATCCCACCCCCAGGGAAATCCACCCCCCTCAACCTCCCCATTTTCCCCACCCCAACAACACCCACCAGTTCAGGTGTTCCCCTAACCGACGCCCTCATAATCCGCTCCCTGGTCTTCATAAACGAGCAAAACTGCACCCCGGAGGGCGAAATCGACAACGACGATGCTCGCAGCTGGCAATGGGTCATCTACCACGAGCCCCAACCCTCCGCCACCACCCCAGTCTCACCAACGGAAAGCAAGATACCCGTGGCGGTGATCCGTCTCGTTCCACCCCCGCACGAACCGCATGAGGCCCTCACGCATCCTGAGTCAGCGGGATCGCTGCCAAAATGGGATACGGAGCATGAGCCGTACGTGAAACTCACCCGGGTGGCGGTGTTGAAGGAGTGGAGGGGGTATGGGCTGGGACGGACACTGGTGGAGGAGGCGTTGGAATGGGCGAGGGGGCATGCGGAGGAGATTGAGAGGGCGTATGCGGAGGTTGCTGGGGAGAAGGAGAAGGAGTGGAAGGGGTTGGTGTTGGTTCATGCGCAGACGCAGGTGGAGAGGATGTATGCGCGGATGGGGTTTGAGACGGATGAGGGGTTGGGAAGGTGGGATGAGGAGGGAATTGAGCATGTGGGGATGTGGAGGAGGGTTCAGTTATCTTAGTCTGGTGGTTCAATGTATGGGTAGATGGTAAAGGATAGACTACGAAGTACTGAAGAGATAGTGGTGGCAGTCTCATAGTTCTATTGCATAACCATAGTGGTAACTCCGCGCCGTAAAAGGAACCAACAAAGAGATCGCCGCTCATAAGCAACCATGACGGGGTATCCTGAGTAGTAAAGGAAAACAAGATTAAGAAAAGAAACCCCCCGCATCTGACGACGATCGGTCGCAGCAACTCACAAAAGAATCGAACAAACAAACGCCCGTAGTCCATTAGCCATTAATCGCAATAATCGTCCCAACTCCCAGCAATGTCCGAATCCGTGAAGCAAGCCGGTAGCAACACATCGGAAACGACGAAAATATGTTCTAAAACAGGTATGTACGAAGTGAAGGGCCCCCGTGCAGTGTCGAGCAAGGCGACGGGCGCATATAGACATGGTCATCAGCACGTGATGTCGTAATGGTTTAGAAGGTGCTCCAGTTCCAGCCCCGAGGAACACTGGCGGCAATCTCGGTGTTGTGGCCTAGCACTCCAGCAAGGGCGGGCTTGGAACCCTCGTCCGGCGAGGAATCCGAGTGCTCCGAGATGGTGTTATCATCACTCTCACTGTCGCTCTCCGCGGCATGGTTCTGCGCATCAATGAGGCTCTGGATCTTGCTCAGGCGTTCGGTGCGAGACTCCTCCCAACGCTGGTAGGCGCTCCAGCAGAGGTCGCAAGCACGGGATGAGACGCCGTCGGGGTGGAAGCGCGCATTCTGGTCGAGCGGAACGACGTGAGGAGTGTGGGAGGAGCAGAACACATGGCCGCAATGGCGACAGTGGTGACGACGCAGGAAGAGGCCGAAGGAGGAGCGGCAGGTAGGAGAGTCGCAGTTGGGAGAAGCAGAGTCCGCCTGAAGAGGTCGCTTGTTAGCAAAGATTCCAACGATCTAGGGGTGTTGTGCGAGGTCCGCCGAATGTCGTCATAGCAATTACGCGATATCGCGCAACTGGGCGCTCACGCGACACCAAGCTCCGCTTGCGCAATGCCGACACTATAAAGCGGACATGCCCACCCGGGTTCGGAAGGGGTGATCGGATTCACTTACTTTCCAGTGGTCACGAGTGGGAAGTCCAGTCACTTCACCAAGGTGCTCATTCTTCATCCACTCATCCTCGGCCAGCTTGCTAACGGCAGGGGCGCTGTTATAGCTCTCCATGGTTGAACGACGGCTGACCGGAACGCCAACTTCACCTTCGTTCAGGCTGTCGAGAGAACCGTGCACACTGCGGGGAGGAGTCGGTGGGGAGGAGGCCTTCTGGGGACGCTCCATGGGGCGCAAAGCGGCCGGGACATAGAGAGGACCCTTGAGCGGACGGAGCTGCTTCGACTGAAGCGGGAAGTGCTGGTAGCGAGGAGAAGTGGGCGAGTTATTCGCGGGGGAAGTCTCAGCCGAGTTGACAGGAGAAGGGTGGCCGTAGACAGTGAAAGCAGGGGTGGTAGTCGCCGTAACAACGTGGGTAGCCATTTGATCGATATGATATCAGAAGTGTTGAAACAAGGGTGGAAATATTATTCGAGATGGTGGTAGAGAGGAGAGTAGAAGAGTAGTGGAAGTAGTGGAAGTAGTGGAGTGGAAAGTAGGGAGGACAGGAGGTAGGCAGGAGTAGTAGTGATGGCAGGTGGTGGTAGCGGCGAGGTGAGGGAATTAAGTGTTGATTGCTTCACAGGTTGAGAGTGAATTGACGGTGATGATGATGCCAACAGTAACAGTAGTAAGTTTAGATCCGAATGGCCATTGACAGAAGAGTAGTTGGGCGGATCCAGAAGAGCATCGCAGTGGCAAGCGGGTGGGTGGGATAAGGTTCGCGATGACGCTGGGAATCGTTGATGAGCAGCGGGTGAGATGGATCCAGGGAATCGAATCAGATACGTGGAGAAGCAAGTATAGAAGGTATAGAGTGTATAGAGTGTATCGATAGACAGATAGGAGATGTCGTGGGACTCGAATCTAATCGGGACGAGTGAAGGGGAAAAGACGAGGGCGATGAAGGGCTACTAATAGTCTAAATGCACGCCCGCAGGAATGGGATGAATTATTAAGTGGCACTCGCCGGACGGGGATGGACAACCTGGGAAGGGAAAGGGAATGGGCGAATTTTGCCATGCATTGTGGAGATGCGCTAGTCCGATGGAGTCCCCCCGAGCACTACGCAGTACTCATAGTAGTAGAATAATAATAATAAAAATATGGAAATTAATTAAAACCTGCCCCCCCTCTCTCGTCTCATCTCGTTTGCTTGGATTCGATAGGTAGTTCCGATGGGGGGGCTACACAAGTAGGTTGAGGCTAGAAAGTCCCGAAGAAACGCAGCCGGTGGAGCCGTTGGAGGATCGGAGGCGACACGACTGGCCGGTGCAAGTTATCGTGACGAGATGACGGAAGTTACTTTCACACTATCCATCCACAGTGGAGGGAGGATGAATGCTTACTTACATACATTGTACATCCTACCGAGCAACTACCTATGTACCTTGCCCCCCCTTGTTCTCGGACAATATTCTCCTCATCTGCAAGATATACATTTCATATTCTACATGTAGAAAGATGGTGCTGACCGCGGATAATCAGCAGCCTCTCTTTACCAAGTCTCATGTTTCCGACCCCCTGAACCTGAAGAACAGGACAACTGGAGGATCAGGAGCTGTACCGATCGTCCGGCGTTACCAATCCGTAACAGCAGATCGGACGGGTTCAGACCAAACTAACCCCAAACCAGCACGGCATTTTACCGAGGCCTCCTTAGTGTGCCATTCAATGATCCCAACCCTCCATCTATCTATTATTATTACTTGGGCCGGGATTTGGGGGAAATCGGATACAACGCCGGAGTGTTACTCTGACGGCGTTCTTAACAGCCAGTATTATTATTATTGTTATTGATGAGGAGGATGACGAGGATTCCGTCTGATATGAGACGCATGTAGACTAGTCATTGGTCTCCGTATATTACTACCTACATGGTAGGAATTAATCTCACGGGACTCAGCTGGCTGCCCGATTCCTGTACGGTATTGACGTTGCCGTGCGGGATGGAAGGGAAGGAGGGAAGGAGGGATGGAAGGATGTATGGACATGGACGAGAGCGGCCAGACAGGATGGCTGCATGAGCCAGTCCCTTTGGCCGAAGTCATGATGACAACACCCCCTGCTCCCCTTGACCGCCTCTTGCTCCCTCCAGTCCAGTCCAGTCCAGTCCGTTGACTGGCATTCCTTCGATCGCGGATCTTCAGTATCGAATAATCTACATACCGCCATCGATGATTCATCGCGCGGTATGTACAGGGCAGTCCCGAATCAACTTTGTATCATCTCCCTCCCGATCGACCTGAAGCAACCAAGTATGCATCCCGGTCGAGTGGCCAACCGGTTCATCATTGGCCCTGCCCGCCTTTGACACGGCATCTTCGACAACTCCAGCATATGATAACTTTCCCCTTTGGGCCATCCCCATTCTCCCCACTCCTCCTCACGATGCAGTCCCCGTTCCCATCTCATTTCCAAAGGCTAATTTGCTCTTGACGGCTGAAGCATCAGGGCTCCGCTGCTCCATCGTAGCGTGCGCCAGTCTCCAGTCTCCAGTCTCCAGTCTCCAGTATCCAGTCAGTCCCCAACCGCCAACCGCCAACCGGCCTCGGATAATCGTCGCACCTGGGAACGACGTCTCTGCACCGGCTACTGACCACGGAACGCTCGACCGGTGAATCTCCCATCAAATCAAAATAGGATTGCCGCTCATTGGCCAGCGGACTCCACCCGGCACTGGAGGGTCCACTGGCCGCCTTGACCGCGCTGACTTGCTCTGTTAGGAAGAGTTCACGAGACCAGATGCTACTGTGTACATGGGTGTTCCTCAACCTCGGGACAAGGACCAGTTTGCGGCCCTAGTTGTAGTACCCTACCTACAGCGGGACTCCCCAATAATCGAGGGAAGCGGTGCAGTTATTGAGCGGTCCCTCCATCATTTGCCCGTCCCTTGCAAGGCGCCCCCTAAAATTCCACTGTTCTGGCGGTGACTGACCGACCGTTGTCCTACCATCCCGTGCCAATCAATCGGATCGGATAAGGGACTGAGGGAACGGGACTGGTCTCACGGAGACAACCAGGTGGATGGCTTGCACAGTGAAAGTGGGAACCAATTAACCGGGAGAGCGGCCTTTCCTAAAGCGGTGGATCTCTCAAACCTCGCCTCCGGATTGGAGACCTCCTGCAGCTCGTTATCGCAGCAACATCATTGGCTCAGCCGCACTTGCCACGTTGCCATTGGTCAGTGCCCCAGCCCAGCACGGACAGACCCCGAACCCGTCGCCTCTCCAGGGCGCCTCGTCGGGCAAACCGCCTCGAGGAGATTATGTAACAGATTCAACGAACCGCGTCGCGTGTAGAGGCCTCGATGCCGCATAGGGTTAGTGCTTCCGGTGTACCTCGGCCGTTGAGCATTTTGACTTGCTTGAAGCCAGAATGGAGTCGCTCTCCTTACGATTGCCATCCGACTGATTGGACTGCACCCGAACTGGGCCCTGTCAATCAACGCGGCATCCGACCGAGGCAGCAGCCATCTGGCACCCAGCCAGTGCAGTGCCCTGTGCCCGGTGTCCCAGTTGGTGAAATCCCCAGCTGAATCCCGCCTCGAATATTCTAGTCGGCGTGGGAGCCGCTACGGTGAGCCTAAATTGGTGGAGGATTCCACTCCTGACAGGTCGCCTGCTGGTTGGTGCAGGCGCCGCCATGGATGTAAGACATCCGCGGACTTACATGCACTGCGTCTTCCTCGGCCATCACATCCCTGTCGCTGCAGCTCTAGCTCGGGAGGCGACTGGTGGCAGGCGGGCAGGATGTGCCTAGTACCTGACTATCCAGGATGTCTCCTGCCAGCCTACAGGATTGCATTGTCCGGCTTAGGCAATGACGACGATGGCGCTGGGAACTGCTATAGCCGCCGGTGTTATGTGGAAGCGCCTGGAATTGTGGTGGTCTCAATTTCGAGCCATTGTGAAGCAGGCCGCTTAAGCGCTTCGCCGGATCGACCGCTAGACATCAAACATGGATGTAACCAGGAGCAGGCACCTGCGTTCAGACTGATAACTGAGGCGACTCCGTGTTTAAGCGCCAGGCCAAGCATCCAGACGGGCGATCCATCAGATTAGAAGACGACAGGCCAGATCCTCCAGCAAGCAGGTACATCCTTTATCCCCTGAGTCCAACGGAGCTCCGGTACAAAGAGAGCAAAACCAAAACAACCTACAGTACGAGGAGGAAGCTTCAAGCCAATCATATACCAACCAATCACCCTTTGACAGAGTGGCCCCGGACCATCTACCAGACAAAGGGGAGAGCTGGAAAAATCTCGGCATCTCCAAACTCTACCGCATCCGCGCAACCCGACACCTCCATCCTCCCCAGCCCCGAACCACGGTTCTCACCAGATGGACTCGACAGCTCGTCGATCCATCCCAAACCGGTAATCTCATCGAACACTCGTGGAAGCCTCCGTGCCCGAGGTTTGCCCCTCCTCAGCCTTCCCCAAAGTCAAAATCGGGGTGATGAACAACGATGATCCGAAGATCACTGGCGGTGGGCGTCTGGGCCTGCCATAGTACGTATACAGCTGTTGCAGCCAGCGATCCGTAGTGGGTGGTCAGTGGTGCGTACGTGCCACTAGACACAGCCGAACCGACTAGACTGGAGATAGGCAGTGCGCGGAACCAATGTTTGCGATGGAGACTGATTCTCGTTACTGTTTACAACCTTAAAATAGCGTGGAGTACGTATGTACTCGGCCGGTTGATGAGTGAAACCGCTGGATGCATCGTCGACTATTTTCGAGTCTGGAGAGTTGGGGCGGATGTGTTGTGCAACCTCAACAGGAGATTTACGGTGCTGCAGCTGCAGTCCAATCTTTGGGGGGGTTCGCCTATCGCTGCACACGGCACTCGATCGGGTTAGTCGCTGCTGTACCACTCCGTAGATACTTGGAGAGGATCTCGGCGAGGTCACATCTATTGATGCCAACACTTGCCAACGCTTGCAACTCGGTAGGAGTACAATGGCATTCACTAGGGAGTCTAAACAGCGAGTATATACATCCCCTCCTTAGTGTTCCCTCTACATTCTACTCGAGCAATGTACACCTCCTTGGCATCGCACTCATCCCCACTAGGAACCGTTCTAACACCAAAATATATCTACAAACAACACCCAACTCAACTATCCAGTCCACCCAGTAACAAGAACATTCACTAGAAATAGTATACTAGTACTTGATAATCCAATCACCCAACTCCGCTGACTCTCAATATCCCATCAAATAATAACCCCTCAATCCCCGGCCTCACCACCACCAATCAAACCCCATACCCAGCGACATACTACTACCACTACTACCCATGCATACTTATCACTAGATACACCAGAGCCTCACCCTCCTCAACTATGATATCATCCTTACCCTTACCCATACCCATACC